TAAAATAAATTTCAAATTAGAGAAATTTAAAAAAAGAACTAGTGAGTGTATTTCAAATGAATTGAAATTTTACTCTGCATTCCTTTTACTTCAAATTCAAATATCAACATTTTCAAAAACTCCGTTACATCATAAAATATTCCAACTAAATAACTCCTAAGTAATTATGAAGAATTTTTTAATTTTATTTTATTTTAAAAATTTTCATATTTATCTATATTATATAAGCTTTATGCTTACCAATTTTTTATTTTATTTAAATTGCATCACTTTCATTAAATAAATAAATAAATAATTGCACAGTCGGTACTTGGAGTCCTCTTCCCACTTGGCAAGTGGATATACTTTTTTATTATTATTTTAACTTTCATTCATTGAGTTTCTTCACAGCTAAGGATTCATTTGCGGAAGCAATATATTTTAAATGAAAATGAATATTATAATTATTTTTTTTAAATAAAGCTGAATATTAATTTTCTTAGAACTATCACACCAATAAATTTATTTAAAAGAATATCTTCCCTTTATTAAAATTCTAAAAATTTATAAGAAAACTGCGGTCTGAAGAATAGTCCAACCCAAACGGATCTTAAAAAAAATATTTATGTAAAAAATAAGTAATATTAATTATTTAAATATTATATTAATTTTAAAATATATTTCATCAACATTTTATTTTATTTTTTTGAAAAAAAAAATCGCACGGGCAGTCGCAAAGTACGCGTCGCCGACGGTCTAATTGTCTGATTCTCTGTTTCGTCCTTCCGCCGCTCCGCCATTATAAATACGATCGGTCTCAGTGAAAGCCAGGAGGAGAAGTGGCGAGGCACGGTTGGTTTATCTGCTTTCTGTCGTTCGAGAAGGTATTATTTTCTCTATTTTGTTCTTTTAGGTTTTCAAAGCTGACGATCTTTCTCGTTTTTTGGATATATTTTTGAACCGATTGCCCTAATTATTGTGAAACTGTCTATTGATTAATATAACAGTTGTGTTGTTATACTGTTGGGGTTAGATTTAGATGGATCAGGAGATTTCCTTTAAGAATGCGTTAATCACGATGAATTTGTCTTTTGAGCTTTAGGGCATCAATATATTCAGCTTGGTGAAAACTTTGAATGCTGCATTTGAGCGCTAATGCTTTCTTCTTTGGTTTTTTTGTGTTTTTTTTTTTAATAAGAAATCAATCCCTTGTATGTTGGCAGATTTTGGCGATGTAATTTTATTCTTCCTATTTATTTGTTTTTACTGCTAATTGAGCTGTTAGCCAGTTTATTTAGGTGCGCAAAACCAAATTAAACCAAACCTTAAATCAGAACCAATTAAAATCATTAGGTTAGGATCAATTTATGTTTGAGAGCATAAATCTTTAATAATTGATTTGTCGGATATTGTTCGGTTTTATTGAATTGCTTTTTCTTTAATGGCTTTTTAATAATTTGTCCTGGGCAGGATCCATATTGTTCTCAGTTGATTGATCATTGAAATATCCTTATGATTTCATGAAAGTAAATAAAAGAAGGATTGTACATATAAGACTTATTATTATATATATGATGCTTTATTTTTCAGTTTATATTAGTTTTATAAAACTTCAAATGTAAACCAGACTGAATAAATCAGTTTAGAAAGAATATCAGTCCTAATTCAAACAAAAATAGTTTTTTTTTTTAATTTGTTACTTTTTTTTTCCTTTTGTGCATTCCCCTAGTTAATTTGGTGCAATAAAGAAGACTTACTCTCCTGAACTTGATATGAAACTTCAAGGCTAATTTTTTAAAAGGAGATTAGTTAATATTTAATTAAGAACAAGTAGCATAATTAAAATTTACTTTAAAAAAGAGCAAATAAGTAAAAATATTTTTGGTATTCAGAAATACGAAATATAATTTTCCGTATTACTAAAAACAACAAAACATTTTATGTCTTATTTAATATGGAAAATGTTTAGGTCTGTCTATAATATATATATATATATAATTTAAATTTTATTATATTTAAGTATTAGATATAAAATTAAGAGATTTTTTTTTCATTCATAGTCCGACAATTGTGGTCAGAAGATTGTGGTTAGCCGAGTGAATGTCTGATGGTGGCCAGTCAAAGTTGAAATACATCAACGACTCAAAAATATAAAGACTCGATCGTGGCCGTAGATCGACGGCCACGTCTCTGATAAACTCTCCATGACGATCTGATGTCCCCATCACAAAAGTTCAACAACAATGGTTGGCTGACAAAGTTCCAGTGGGCTCGTTGGATTTGTCTCACTGAGCCGCTCGATGTTATTATAAACATGCCAAATTTGGAGATCATTTAGTCACCCGATTAATATCATAAAGTTTTCAATTATGCTTAAGACCATTGATTTGGGCTCATTTAGGCTCAGATTTAACCACTTTAAATGTCGTTGGCTTTGTCTCGTCGATATGTTTAACTCAACTATAAGTTTGATGGAATTGGAGTTCAGATAGTCCTAAGCTTAATTTTAGAAGTTTTCAATTCAAATATGTCTTGAAATTTGTGCCCGATCAAGATGATTTTTGTGACACATCATTTTAATTACTCTGTTATTTATAAAACTCATAATGTTTTGTTATGTTAGAAAAAAATGTTTTATAAGTTTTTATAAATCAAAGAATATGTAAAAAATCAAATAATCAAAGAGCTAAATTCCAATTATTTGAGGCTTAATGTTATGATTCCAATTTAATTTATCTTTTGATTTTTTAGATCCAATCATATTAAAAAAATTAACACACACTATTTTTCTATTGGTATTGATCCTAACTATACCTCAAGTAATGAGAAAAATTTATTACAACAATATTTCATATCATATTTTTTTTTATTGTATAGTGCTTCCTCCTAATGATTTCCTTTATAATCAATAATAGTGGATACATAGATCCTTTCATTTGCAAATTAATTTAATTGTCTTTCATTAATTTGACAATTAATGGGCGAGACTTTAGAATCACATATGCAATTGAATATGAGAATCAATTTTCTGTAAAAAAATTCAGTTGAATACGAGAATTGATTTCTATTTTTATGTATTATTGAATACGGGAAATTATTTCCCCTATTTAACTAAATACGGGAAATTTATTATGTATTCGACTAAATTTGCAATCCGCTTTTCCGTATTTTGCTCTTTTTAAAATTATTTTCAAATTCTGCTTCTTTGGCTTTATTAGGATTACTATCAGCTCTGTTTCATAATCTCGCCAAACTTCAAATCCTTTATGATTTATGGAAAAAAATGATATTCTTTTCATGTAATATTGTTTGAATGCAGGTTCTCTGATTTGGTCGAAGTAGGAAATTTGAGATCGACAAAAAAGTAGTAAAATTTTCTGAAAAAGGAAGTTTTAAGGAATGGATGAAACGCATGGACAAACTAATGATGAAGAAGTAAAAAATGCAAAAGAGGAATTTTATATGAAGGTCAAAAGCAAGGAGAAGGATATAAATATAGAAAAGGAAGAGAAGATTGAAGTGGAGGTGAAGGCAAAGTCTTTGAAAGAAGATAGGAAGGATCCCAAGATAGAAAAGGAAGAGAAGACGGAAGTGGAGGTGAAGGCAAAGTCTTTGGAAAAAGATAAGAGCAAGCATGATGAAGAGAAGAAAGAGAAAAAGCACAAGGGAAAAAAAGAAAAGGTTGGGCAAGAAGACAAGGAAGGGAAGGAGGAGAGGAAGAAAAAGGAGGAGAAGAAGAAAAGTGAGAAGTTGGAATGTACAAAGAATGAGGATGATGAATCAGGGAAAAAAGACGGAGAAAAGAAAATAAAGGACAAAGATGCAGATTTCAAGGAGAGAGAGGATGATGGAGGAGAGTCAAAGAAAAAAGAAAAAAAAATAAAGGGTAAAGAAGGGAAGTACAAGGAAGAAGATGATGACGATAAAGAAAAGGATGGTAAGAAGGAGAAAAAGCACAAGAAAAAAGAAGAAAAAACTGATGAACAAGATGATGAAGTAGATGCAAAACAGGAGAAGAAAAAGGAGAAAGAGAAGAAGAAAAGTGAGAAAGGTGAAAATATGAAGAATGAAGATGAAAGGAAGAAAGATAAAGAGAGGAAAAAGGAAAAAGATGGAGAGTCTAAGGTGAAGAATGATGATGAGAGAGAGTCAAATAAAAAAGATAAAGAAATAACGGGTGAAGAAGGGAAGCATAAAGATGATGATTATGATGAAGAGAAGGAAGGAAAGAAGGGTAAAAAGGAGAAAGAGAAGAAGAAAAAAGAAAAATGTAAAAATCTAAAGAGCGAAGATGATGAATTAAGAAAAAAACATAAGGAGAAGAAAAATGACAAGGAAGAAGATTCCAAGGCAACCAAGGATGAAGAAGGAAACTCAAAGAAAAAGAAAAAGAAGGATAAAGAGGAGAAATTTAAGGAGGCCGAAGAAGATGATGAAATTGAAGAAAAGGTGCAAAATGATAAGAACAAGAAAGAAAATTTTGACAGTTCAAAGGTACATAAGAATGATGATGATACTGATCCCAATGAAAAAGAGGGGAAAAAAGAGAAAGGAGAAGCAAAAGAGAAAAACCAAAAGAACTACATGGTTGAAGATGAAGGACCGGAAGAAGATGAAGTTGGGAAAGAGACATTATGCAAAGAAAAATTGAAGAACAAAAAGAGAAAGGACATTGAAGAAGATGAGAAGGATAATAACAAAACTATTAGCTCAAGGGAAGTTGACGTTGCAAAAGTGATAAATGATAGGAAAGAAAAAGATAATGAAAAGGAAAAGAAAGAGGATAAATCCAAAGAGTCAAAGGATGAAAAAGAAAGTAAAGGAAAGAAGTCAGAGAAAGGTAAGAAGGATAAGAATGGGAAGAACAAAGAGAAAACAAAGGATCTTGGGAAGCTTAAACAGAAGCTAGAAAAGCTTGATGCAAAGATGGAAGAACTGCAGACAAAAAAATCAGACATCTTGAAGCTGATCAAAGAAGCTGAAGAAACTCAAGCTCAACTAATTGTGAAAGAAGAGAAATTGGCTGATGTTGCAAGAGCATGATGATGATTAAAATAAGGTATGGAGTAGTACCTAATCTTGAAATAATTTTCCGCATTCTAAAGTTTACAATCGATGGTTTTCAGAACAACTGTGAGGTGCAATAAATGGCTTTCTGTCATGTTCTTCTCCTTAGATTTCCATGTAATAAAATAATGATTGGAATGATAAAGTCATCTTTTTTTTTTTAAATTAAAGTTCTGTTCTCTTCCCTTTTGCTATATGTATATCTGTACAGCAACTCTTAATTTAGACTTTTGGAACATATCCTAAGTTAGTATCTACTCTTTAAGCCATCATTGAAAATGTTACCGCTTTTTTCACAGCATAGTGGCAGAGATTTATTGTCTTATTCCGGAGAATATTTATCCCTACTGATTCATTGTATCTAATGGGCATTGATTAGAATAGCATTTGCAATGTTAGACGCACATAAAGTGCTAGTAAGATCTCATTTTGCATAATGTATAGTAAGATTATTATTTCAGGTATTAGAAGAAAGCAGCAAAAAATGAACATGTTATTTTCAGTTGAACATATGATAAAATAACATGCGACTTTGGAGAAAATAATAAAAAAAATCACATCCTACTTCGTAGGTGGAATCGTGTAAATATGCTAGGTAAAATAGAAACTTGTAACGATCTATATATATTAGGTCGTAGTTGATTCTGTAGTCAGGCCAAAACCAAAGGGGAACAATGGATCATAGTGTTCATCGCCAACGTTCATAGGGAGCTGATCTACAGACTTAAACCAGGTTCTTGGGAGCTTTCCGGTGAATCCATAATCGCCGAAGAGCACATCTGAAACACCTTTGCCTTCCGAGCCAGGCAGCCAAGCGGCAACAAGTGCATCAATCATTGGGACATATGGCTCGATCACCAAAGGCCTGCCAGAGATGATGATAACTACACACTTGACATTCTCACAAACATTCTTAATGATGCTAGGACCAGGAGCCGGAAGTGTTAGATTGAGGTTGTCGCCGTTTGTTTCGGCATAGGGAGATTCTCCCACCACCACTATTGCATAGGCGAAGTCATTCTCTATGACAAAGCTAACACTTGGAAACTGAGAGTGGATGACTAAAGTATCAGGGTCAACAGTTGATTTAATTGCCTTTAGTATTGTAGTTCCTGCATGGCAAGAAGATGATCATCAATACATATTGTCAGCCATCCCATATGTGCAAGTTCATATGGTAGGAAACTAGTGTCCAAATTTTCATCCTGAGGAAATATAAAGCTTGGTAGACCTTTGCAATAGTTCCATAATAACTAGGGGGAGAACACAGCTTGTGTTGGATAGCTTCAGAAGAAGTATTTTGTTAAGCTAGTTTTAAAAAATAATAATAAAAAAAGGGATTTTATAGAAAAGAATATAGGGACAAAAAATATGCTTACCACCAGTTATATTTCCACTCTGTCCTTGCCAGTCAATTGTCCACCCTCCACACTGAAGCCCTATGTTATCAGCGTGAATCCCAGCAACAAGGATCCTTGAAGCTTTTTTCGCAAGAGGAATAATTGTTTCTTGAGGAGATTTTCCATTTTTTAGAAGCACAAGTGATTCTCTAACAGCTTTTCTTGCCAATTTTCTGTGTTTCTGTTATATCTTTAAAGTTCTAATTAGCATATAACATTTTTGGATTTAGTGGTATGAATGTTTTAGTGTATGGTAGACACCAACTAGACAAAGATACCTTTTTTCCAAGTTGATCATAAAGGTTAAGATCTCCATAGGGATTTTCAAAGAGACCCATAGAAAACTTGACCCGCAAAATCCTCGTAACAGCATCGTCTATTCTGTTCATGGAAATGACGTTCTTGTTGACAAGATAGGTCAGATTGCCAATGAAGCTTTCATAATCATTAGGAACCATCACCTGCAAATCATCCCAACAGCCGAAACAAAATTTGGTTTAATATATCTGATTTGAACAGGTCTCATGGATGATGGACCAAAATCAAAATTCAGATATTGGCTGATTTAATTGATGGTAAAAGATATACTGACCATGTCAATACCGGCATTTATCGATGTTTCTACGGAGTATGTGTAATTGGCCTTGGGTGGGGTGGTGATCCTATCAATTCCTTCCCAATCTGATATCACAAAACCCTAGTAGCCAATATCTCACAATGGTTAGACTTAGAATTCTATTAAATAGAGCAATGTGAAAGCAATTTGAATAGGCTACCCTGAATTTTAGTTCGTTCTTAAGGAAGTCAGTAATGAGTTCACGGTTAGCATGCATTTTTATCCCATTCCAGCTTGAGTAAGAAACCATGATGGTGGAGACACCCTTAATGATGGAGTTGTAGTACGCCGGCATATGGATGCGAAGTAAGTCCTGTCGGCTGATGATAGTGTCGTTCTCATTAATTCCTTTCTGCGTCCCACCGTCGCCAACATAGTGCTTTGCGCAGGCTGCAACTTTTTTTCTGATTTTACAATTAAAAAACTCAGTTAAAAAAGCATCATTCAATCAATAAGGCCTCGTTTGGGACGGCTTTCTTTTTGCTTCTTGCAACGGTTTTTTAGTATAAAAATTAATTTTTTTTTACTAAAAGATGTTTTAAGAAGCAGAACGAAAGCCGCCCCAAATGAAATCTAAATCATATTTTCTTCTTTCTTCCTTTTCATATCGCATAATTTAAATGTCATACATCACATGTAATTATTGAGCTTGCTCTGGACTTCATCCTAGATTTGAAGTCATGGAAGAGGAAGGAAGAAAGTAAAAATGCATAATTGGGGATTGATAAGAGGTCTTACCGTCCTGCAACATAGGGAACACCCTTGACACCATTTGCTGGAATATCTCCTTGTAGTCCAGGAATAATTTCTGTCATTTCTTGAACAATTTTGGGGTCCTCGCTGTAGCTTTCATAGCACCGTCCCCACCTTGGATCCCTGCAGACCTGCATAACCTCAGCAAATGTTTTGTCAATACATATATTTCTAGAGCTTATGAACCAACTTTACACCATATGGAGCAAAATACAAACACTCAGGCCTCGTTTGAGACGACTTTCTTACGGCTTAAAGCAGCTTTCTACAGCCGTCCCAAACAAGGCCTCAATAACTGGTTAGGAAGTTGTTCGAGACTTAGAACATGGATATATAGAGATCATGAACTCACCGCAATACATGGAGCGAAGGCATAATGGATGCCTGTTGCCCTTACTTCCAATGCCGTTGCTTTTCCAATTTTCTTCACAAGTTCAGGATCCCTGATACAAAAATACAAACAGTCAATAACTACTTCACCTATATTAGAAGTCAAAGTGATATGCATAGTATTTGAAGTGTTCTTAGTCTTGGAATCAATAGATAGAGCTCTATTAGCTGGAAAATTATTAGGTGCGGACATCAACTAAAAATTTGACATGTGTAGTGCATTTTAGTTATGCTTTTTTGTGCGCTTTACTTGCATTTTACCTGCGCTTTAGTTGCTCTTTAAGTGCATTTTTTACTACGATTTGACTGCTCTTTAGTTGCGCTTTAAGTGCGTTTTTTTACTGCGTTTTGACTGTACTTTTGATGTGCTTGACTTAAAGTTCCGCGGACACATTAAACATATTGAATATCCACGTGTCCACTCCACGTGTCGACATTTTATTGACTTCCGGACTTATCTCTACGTCCGGTGTCCGGACCTAATAATAACTATTAGCTTCAGGGGTTAGGAAGTCCTTCGATAACTTGCCTTGTAGCTCCCAGTCCCACATTGTGAGGGAATATTGTTGCATTAAATACATTGTTGTTGCCATGAACTGCATCAATTCCATAAATCATTGGTATTTTCAGACGTGTAGAAAGGCTTCCTCTCTGAAACTCATTGACCATATTCACCCAAACTTCTGGTGCGGCCTGGGGCTGAGGCACACTTCCCCCACCACTCAGTACACTACCTGTAGAGAATGCTCATTTCAGTTCAAAAATTTCATAACTTCAGAACTTATTGATCAACTTATAGCATTTTTTTACCTATGAAGTAATCTTTCAAGATTTGAGGAGTTGCAACCTTCCTTTCAATTTGGGTCATTTGGCCAATCTTTTCTTCAAGAGTCATTCTTTCGAGCAAATCTTTGATACGAATGGCTAATCGCTGTTCTGGATCTTGGTATTTGAAGTATTCTGCGTCTCCAATTGATGCCCAGAGCAACAAGAACAGACAAAGTGCTTGCATTCTTGCCATCTTCTGCTTTAATGACCAGAAAATTGCTTGAATTTTTTGGACAAAATTCAATTTTATGCTGCATCAATTCTACATGAATTATCCTACTCCAAGAGTTGATGTAACTTCCAGCAACTTTTATATCTATTAATGCAAGAATATGCTTTTACTCGAGCCTGTTTGTGAATAAATTATTCTGAGGCCGGATGCAGAACGTTGTCCGGAGACCAACCAGAATGCATCACATTAGCGATATCGAGCCGCGATACTGAGTACCGAGCTGTGGTACCGAGCGAAGGGGTGACGTGATGTATTCTGGTTGGTCTCCGGACAGCGTTCTGCATCCGCATAGAATAATTAATCCTGTTTGGGACATTTTTTTTAATTATTAAAAAAAATATACAAAGAAATATTAGAAAATTGCTACATAAAGAAATAAAAAAAACCGTCTCAAATGAATACTCAACAAACTGATAAACCCCATTTTTAGCCATCTACATCTAACAATGCCACACTTATTGCAGAGCATTCCACACTAAATGATGAAATGATTGAATTTCTTTTACTAATTAGTCTTTTAAAGAAAACATGCTAATTTATATACAAATTTCTATTATTGCCTCCAAGCATTTTTTTTTCTTAATTTATGGTTTCGTTTGTGATGGCTTTCTTACTGTTTCTTAAAACAACTTTTTAGTATAAAAATTTTAAATTTTGTATTAAAAATTTCTTTTTAGAAGCAATAAAAAACCATCCCAATCCCAAACGAAACGGAAATAGAAGATCTCACAAACAAAATGAAGCCATATAATTTAACTAATCAGTGGCTAAAGACTAAATACTTCTTCTATATGAGACAGACAGGGTACAGAACTCACTTAGAAGAACCCTATGAGGTACACAAGCTTTAATTCCCAATACCACAACTATAGAGAGCTTGAAGACGGAAGGAAGCGATTGTGAAGAAAGCGATGCTGGGGTTTGAGGTATTTATACTCAACTGTTAACTACAGAGATTACTTGCTTGAAATAGGATCTGGATAGAATTAGTTTATAATTATAAGGATTCTGTTAGTGATAATGGCTAATTTTAATTATGTCAACCTTTTTCGAATGATTTTCTGGATAAGAACAGTTTGTCAGAGGATTATCTTTTTTTTTTCAATTTTTAGAAGCAATATTATAGAGGATAAATAAAAATATGGCTATTGGAACCGTTTGTTTTCTGTTTTCTGCTTGTTTTATAGAGGATTATGTTTAGCCTTTTTTTACGATTCTTTTCTATATCATATAAAATTTGAGAAAATGTGTAGTTAATCATAGTTAGTTTGATAATTTGTCTATCAATTAATATAATAGAATGTAGTAGATATAGATTATTATAATATTTAATTATATTATTGCTACGAAAAAATCTAATTAATATGTTATAATTAATGTTATTTAATTATATTATACTTAATCATCTAAACTATTTTTAATTATTCCAAAATCCTAATTTTTTTTTAAAAAAAAGTTTAATAAATCATTTAATTATTTAAAATTTTAAAAGCATGTCTAACGGACAACTTGCAGTGATGTGGTATTTTTTATTCTATTTTATTTTGCCTTTTTAATAATTATAATTGTATAACAATATTAAATAAATTTTTTGATAAATATTTAAATTTATTTAATTTAATAAAATTTAAATCCTATGGAAAAAAAATAAAATAAATTTTATTTTTTATGTTTGATATGTATTTTTAATGGGTGATTAGTTGTTATCTTTAGGATAAGTGCCCTAATAGTCTGTGCTCATCACCCTATTAATATCTTTCTTAACGACCTAACTAATGTGTCCCTCATGATTATCGTCCTCTAAACCACAATATAGATCAAGTTATTGTAGACTTTGGCTTTGTTTGGGATGGCTTGCTTATTATTTCTTAATGCAATTTTTTAGTTAAAATTTTTTAGTTGTCTGTTCTAATTGGTAGCTTTAAGTAATTAAAAAGCTATCCCAAAGAAAGGTTTTGTAGTTTAAAAGCCTATTAAGAATTAGTCAATTATGAAATCAACAACCAAAAATTAATCACTCCGACTTTGATCGTGTAATCTAACATATCGTGCAATTGTGTTTATAGTAGGGGTGTCAATATTTGACACGACCTGAAAACTCGACTAAAAAATTTTGGGTTAGGGTTAAACCGTTTGTGAAACGGGTCGGGTTCAACAAATCGACCTGTTTCAAAAACGGGTTGGATTTTGGTTAACTTGAAAACCCAGAAATGACCTGGAATGACCCAACAAAAACACGTTGATCGTGTCTTCCCGTGTCGCTTTAAGTCTCTCGTCTGCCCCCGTCGCGTCGAGTCCCAATGACGACGCTACTACTGCCATTGATGGTGCTGCTCAGCGCCTGAATAAGAATGTGCCCTCGAGTCGGGTAGGGCCAATTCATTAACCCGGGCGAGTGTAGTTTAGGTTGGAATATCTAACTCGTTAGCAAAAATGGATCGAGTTCGAATCAAATCAACTAGTATCGGGTCAGCTTCAAATTCAACCCGTGACCCGAATTTGACCGCCCTAATTTTGAGCCATGCATATGTTAATATTCAAAAGATCCTCGCCATCCGATTTCTTGCACACACCTTATTGTATGCATTTATATAATATTAAATCAAATAAAATTTATTTTGCTTAAAATTTATTTAAAAAAAAAAACGAAAACTAATCAATATATAAATAGATTTCATCAACCCAGGATTATCACGAGGTTTTGACCAATCTTGAGGAGACTCGAAGCTGTTCTACTTATTTTCATTAATTTTATTTAATTCTATTCCAATAGATATTTTTTAATAATAAATTCATAAATTACTTGAAATATTTGTAACGGATCAGTGCATTCATCATCCATTACCGCATGGGAAATATAAATAGTTACTAATAATAGAAAATGAGAAATTACATACATGCCCTTAATTTTTTATATATTAACATATAGAGCACCTAATCTATATATTTGATTACATAAAATATACTATTTAAATAACAACTTATCCAAAATAAAACATATTTTCATGCATAGTCTCATAAGTTAAACAAAAAAAAAAAAAACTTGTGTAATAATTTCATGACCAAAAAATAATAAGAATAAGTTTAAAGTCTTCAAATCTACTTTGAGATATGTGCAACACAAATTTTATAACACATTTATATCAAAATAAATCAAACTTTAAGGTTTTATTTGAGACAACTTTTTTATTATTTTTTAAAACAAATTTTTAGTACATTTTTTTTTAAAATTATACTAAAAAAATTACTTTATAAAGCAGTAAGAAAATTATCCCAAACGAAATCTAAATTTCATCATAACTAAAAATTTCAATAGTATATTCTACCATTATTTTTTTAATAATTATTGTATACTGAATCCATAAAAAAGAACAAAACTTCTGCAGATAGAGAAGCTTTCTGTCCTCTTTCACCAATAAAATGACTATCCCACTCAATACCTATGTAGCAATAATGCAAGAATTACAGTAAAAAACCAGTAATTCCTCTTCCTTGAAATATCAGCAGCAGAGATTGGCCTATAAACAACAATAACAAGACAATATCAACCAACTTGGATTCAAAGTAAGATTATAATACCCAAAAAAAAAACAGAGAACTGAGATCATCCCCTGTACTAGAAGTGAATATCTTCTACCTTGCCTGTTTGGGCTCTGTTGTCAAGCCAAATCCAAATGGGAATAAAGGATCATAGTTCTTGTCCCCTATGTTCATGGGAAGCTGGTCAACTGATTTGAACCAAGTGCGCGAAAGCTTGCCGGTGAACCCATAGTCACCAAAGAGAACATCAGCAACACCTTGTCCTTCTGATCCAGGAAGCCAAGCAGCAACAAGAGCATCCATGGCTGGAATGGAAGGCGCGATCGCCAGGGGTCGGCCAGAGACGATGATCACAGCACATTGGGTGACGCCGCAGATGGTCTGGATCGTGCTAGGAAGAGGATCGAGAAGTGTGAGGTTGTTGAGATTGTCTCCAGCAAACTCAGCATAAGGTGGCTCCCCAACGACAATTATGGCATAAGGGAAGTTATTGTCTTTCATGAAATCAATATCTGGATTCTCACTGTACACAACCTTAGTTGAAGGATCAATAGTGGATTTTATAGCATCCAAGATTGTAGTTCCTGACAGTAAAATGCATGCTTGATCATCAATTTCAACATATTCCACCAAAAAAACCTTTTTTTTTTCTAGTTACTATGTAATTTCAACAATGTTTCAGTAGCAATTCATCATGATAAAACAAATAAATGGTTTTTTTTTAACAAATAAATGGTTGAAGAATGCAACATCTCAGTTAGGAATCGTTTGGGACGACTTTCTTACTGCTTCTTAAAATAATTTTTTAGTACAAAAATTTTAATTTTTGTACTAAAAAGCTGCTTTAAGAGCAGTAAGAAAGCCATAAGTCTTCGTTGAGTGCAACTGTGTTTGCTAATTAGGCAGTTTGTTTTAGTGAATTTGGAAAAAGTAAATGCATGTAAAATAAACGTGGCTAATTTCATTGCATTTACTTGATATTTGTAAAAAAAAATGGAATATAAACTAAGGCTTAGTTTGGGGAGGCTTTCTTATTGTTTCTTAAAGCAGTTTTCTAGTAAAGCTGTTTTAAGAAGCAATAAAAAAGTTGTCCCAAACAAAACATAAGAGAACCTTACGTTCTTCATTAACTTCGCTTCAAACCAAATATCTTTGCATGCAAATGCCTTGCTTTACACCAACTTTTCACTCAGGTTCCTTAGTAGTGTTATAGAGGTTGATAAGCTGAAAGCAATTTCAATATCCAGAGAGTGACAAGCAAAGCATTCAACATACTAAACAAGATATATGGAAATAAATTAATGCACTTGGGAAATCTACTATTAATACATCTGTGACCAATCATCATCAGCCTAATCCAAAAATTTTATAGTAGACTTTTATGAATCCTCATTCTTCTTTTGCATCTACCAAGTGTTGCATGAGATGGTCAAAACTATTCTATATTTTTTTCCATCAACTTCTATGTATGTTTCCTTTGGTCTACCTAGGGGTGTCAATTTGGGTCAGCGGGTCGGATTCGGGTCGAACCCGGAACTGACCCGGCACTATTCGGGTCAACCCGAACCCGACCCGTTTTTAAAAACGGGTCAGGTTTCCGGACCCGAACCCGACCGATTCGGGTCCGGGTCAACCCGACCCGACACGAATGACCCGAAGTTGACCTAAAATTGCTAATTTTCAGGTCAAAATCGGGCCAATTTCGGGTTTTCGGGTCAATTTCGGGTCAATTTCGAGTTACTGGGTCAACTCGAACCCGACCCGATTTTTAAAACGGGTTGATTTGTTCAAACCAAACCCGACCCGTTTCGGGTTCGGTTGACCCGAACCCAGATTTTTCCGGGTCGGGTTCGGGTCGTGTTTTGGGATTAGTTAAAAATTGACACCCCTAGCTCTACCTCTCTTTCCACCAAATATTTGACATTAATTATTACTAGCTATCTTATGAGTGAATTTTCTATCCTTTTTACAAATTCAAATCACTCAAACCTATTGTTCAATTTATCTTCAATGATGAATCTCCTACAATCCCTCTAATATTATCATTCATCTATCCATCTATATTTCATAATTTTGTTATAAGTTCATCAATAATTATTCTCATTTATGCTATGCTCGACTTAGCTAGGCCCAACAAAAACTTTTTAATGCCTGATACCTGAATCGATCCAATATATTCAGCCTAACTGTACAACAACAACAACATCATCAAGCCTTTGTCCTAGTACGTGGGGCCGGCTACATGAATCCTTTTTTCTCCATTGTATCTTGTTAATAATGAAATTCTTGTTTAAATCTAATAAAGAAAGATCTTTTCTAATATTTTCTAACCAAGTCTTTTTAGGTCTACGTCTACCTTTATTAATATAAGTCAAATCTAATACCGCTACTTTCCTAATCAGGTCATCGGAATGTCGTCGTTTTATGTGACCAAACCATCTAAGGCGATTCTCCCTAATCTTATCTTCCACTGGAGCTACTCCAACCTTTCATGCATATGCTCATTTCGTATCCTGTCTCTAAGGGTAAATCCACTCATCCACCCGAGCATCCTCATCTCTGCAACACTTAACTTAGTATTTTGCTTCTCTTTTAATGGCCAACATTCTGCACCATAAAATATTGCAAGTCTCACCACCTTCTTATAAAATTTTCTCTTAAGTTTGAGGGGACTTTTCTATCACACAATAAGCCCGATGTAGCCTAACTGTAATTTCATGAAATGTAATATTAAACCTCTTCATTTGAGATGGTTTTCTTACTGATTCTTAAAGCAGCTTTTTTGTAAAAAAATTTATACAAAACTATTGCTTTAAAACGCAGTAAGAAAGCTGTCCCAAAAGAAGCCTAAAGATACATGGTGGCAAACATGCTAATCTTCAAATGTGAATCTATTGATTGATTTTTCAAAATGGTTTCTTCAGGACTGCATCCACACGAATGGTCGTGGTTTCAGCAACAAGAAGGCATAAAACCTATTGTGTTTGATGGCTTGCAAGACTCAATCAGGAAATGATGTTGACATTGATATCAAATCACGGTGGTCAGTTGATTTGATCATTCCATTAAATTTGTGTTGCAGTATTTGGCGTCAAAGGATCATGAAAAAAGGAAAAAAATGTTACATTAATTAGATTAATACAAACCTACTGTGATGTCCCCGCCAAGCCCCTGCCATTCAATAGTCCAGCCACCACATTGGTAACCCAAGTTATCAGCATGGCTCCCAGCAACTAAGATCTTTGGAGCTTTCTTGGGAAGGGGAAGAAATGGATTCCCATTTGATTTTCCATTTTTCAACAGTACAAGTGATTTTCGGACAGCTTCTCTAGCAAGCTCCCTGTGCTCCTGTCAAAATAAATGGCTTTTTCAATGAAAAATGTGGTATTTAAAAATATTTTGAAGTAGATATCAGAAGCAATAAGTTCATTCACCTAACTAAGGCTTTGTTTGGGACGACTTTCTTACTGCTTCTTAAAGCAGCTTTATAGTACAAAAATTTTAATTTTTATACTAGTAAGCTGCTTTAAGAAGCAATAAAAAAGCCATCTCAAACAAAGCCTAAACTATGAGCAAGGTTTATGCTGACAAAGTAGGAGGAGCATTATTCACATCATTTTTGGGTAAAAATACATAAATAATAATAACCACCTTCTTCCCAAGCTCAGCCGTGAAACTAAAATCTGCCATAGGGTTCTCAAAGAGGCCTAAGACAAATTTGACCCTTAAGATCCTACTAACGGCATCATCAATTCTGCCCAAAGGGATAACCCCCTTGGAAACCAGGGCAGTCAAATTACCAATGAATTCTTTAAACATGTAAGGAACCATAACCTGCACAAAACCCAAGAGAAAAATGAAGATGAGAACAACAATTTTCGAGTAAGACTGAGCTTTAACTTGTGATTTTCATGACCTTTAATGTGAATTACAATGATAAAACTGGAAAGGGAACTAACATATAGTAAGAGACACCCCTGTCTTCCTATCACCCATAGACTCCATAAGATCCAGGATGAGCATTCATAGGGGAACACTGGAGTGACCCCCAATACAGACACAGTAACACTTTCTATTTATTTTAAGAATTCTTCACAATGAAAAAACAAAAAGGTAGTTAATAAAGTTACTAAAAATTACAAGGAAAAAAATTAAATGACAGAATGGCTGGATTTGTTAGGGATTGTGGGTTCACTGCACTTTGACAGAATTTCCAATCAACGATGCTTAATATAATTAAAATAATGTATAAAACAAGATTAACATAGGGTAGTATGGGATAAAAATATACACCAACAACAATATCAAGTATTTATCCCACACTGTGCAGTGGGTTACATGAATTATTTTTCTCTATTTTATCTTGTTAAGAGTCAAATCCTCATTAAAATTTAATAAAAAATGACATTTCTAATATTTTCTAACCAAGTCTTTTTAGGTCTATCTCTACCTTTCTTAACATAGGTCAAATATAACACATCTACTTTCCTAACAAGGTCATCAAGTCCCACATTTTAAGTGATCCAACCATCTAAGACAACTCTCTCTAATCTTATCTGTCACTCGAGCAACTCCAACCCTTTTCACGTATATGCTCGTTTTGCATTCTATCTCTAAGAGTAAAGTCAATCATTCACTTGAGCATCCTCATCTCTGCAATGCTCAACTTAAATTGATGCTTCTCTAAGTTCTCTTTTAATGGCCAACAGTCTACGCCATAAAGCATTGTAGGTCTCACCACCTTCTTTAATGGCCAACAGTCTACGCCATAAACCCTAAAATAATATTGAAAAATTTCGTAAGTCAAGAAATTCCTTCATTTATGCATCTCTATTGGAATATCATCAGGTCCATCAATTTTTTCATACTTCATTTTCTTTATAGCCTATATAACATTGATTTTAGTAATACACTAATAAAAACAAAAATCTCTATTTTTATTTAGGGTGCTAAGATGTAATAACCCAAATCTCTAAAGTGATTCGTATTCTCACAATCTTCATTCAAAAGCTTATCAAAATATCTCATTCACCTTTGTTGAATATCATCTTCTAATAAAAGCATTTTTTTATCTTCATCCTTAATACACTTCTCTTGAACTAAATATTTACTTCTCCTATATCTTCGTTTACTCAACTTATACACGCATCTTTTGTCTTTCTTATGTTATGTGTATAATCTGATTGTGTTGATTAATTGGGAAAATTTTTTTCGTACAAAGCCCTGGTTTTGTGTACCCAAGTGCCTCGACATTGTATTTCCAAGTGCCCTAGCACTGATCGACAGAGAGTAAAGCGCCACAACATTCTGGATTTGACGCCATAGCTCTGTGTGTGTCGCAGCACTGCGAGTTTGAGCGCCACAATATCATCAAAAGAAGGCCTGAGCGACGCAGCCTGCAAGACGAACTAAACAGTTTTCTTTCTCATTTTTCCCAAGGGCTGCGTCCCTTGGTGGTTATAACTTGTTTTCTCTTATATTTCTTGTTAGGGTTCAACATAAAGAATGATGCATGTGAGAAAAGAAGCAATGAGAGAGTGAGATAGAAGAGAGATCTATACTTATTTCTCCCAATTTATATAGTGGATTTCTTGGTGCGGTGTGGCCCTGTGATTTTTTTTCATAATTTGAGTTTTTTCATGTTAAATCCTGGTGTCATTTATATTTCGTTGCTTTTACTTTATTGCTTATTTCGTCATTATGATGTTTACTCCTCATCCCCAACACCTTAGTATTTAATATAGTCACGGGCTACCTGGCGCTGACGCAAGCAGCAGGCACGATCGTGCGGGGCAGGTGTGGGAGCAAGTGTCGCGGGGCGGGTACTAGGGGCGGGCGGGTCATAGGCAGCCACAGGGGCGCGCGGGCAGCCTAGGGCGTGCGGGCGAGCAACGAGGCAGGGGGCGGGTAGGTCCTCGAGCAGCCGGGCAATCATTTTAAAAGGGTTTAAGGGTTGACCGAGCAACCCGTCGGATCAACCCGAACCCAACCCATTTTTCAAACGGGTCGAATCCGAGAACCCGAACCCAACCCGTTTTGGAAATGGGTTGGGTCTAACCCAAAAATTATGGGTCGGATTTTCGTGTTGTATCAAATATTGACACCCCTACTAGGGTATGTCCTCTTGCAAATATCTAGTAAGAACATCCATGACTAAAGTAAAAATATACATGCTTAAAGCTAATCCCTGATGTAATCCAACTAAAATAGTAAATACTTGGTCAAACCTCTTTGTGTTTGAACACAAGTAACAACTCTTGCATTAATATCTTTAATGACTTGAGTATAACCCTTATTTTCTAAAACAGTCCAGCACTTCTCTTAAAACTTTATCATAAGCTTTCTCTAAATCAATAAATATCATATGTAGTTCCTCTACATTCTCTCTATACTTCTCCAAGAAACCTTTCAATAAATATATAGCTTCCATAGTAGACCTACCCAACATGAATCCAAATTGATTTTGAGAAACATTAGTATCACGACATAACCTATGCTCACTAACTCTCTTCTATAGTATTAAAGTATAACACATTAATTTAATTCTTCTATAATCTGCACACTTTTGTGCATCATCTTTATTCTTAGAAATAAGAATCAACACACTCCTCCACTCATTTGCTATCTTTTTAGTCTTCAAAATAATATTGAAAAGTTTCGTAAGCCAAAAAATTCCTTCACTTCCTAAGCATTTCTACATCTCTATTGGAATATCATCAAGTCCAACAATTTTCTCACACTTCATTTTCTTTAAAGCCTCTATAATTTTGATTTTACTAATACACCAATAAAAATAAAAATCTCCATTTTTATTTAGGGTGATAAGGTGTAATAACCCAAATCTCTAAAGTCATTCGTATTCTCACAATCTTCATTGAAAAACTTATCAAAATATCTCATTCGCCTTTGTTGAATATCATCTTCTAATAAAAGCATTTTTATCTTCATCCTTAATACACTTCTCTTGAACTAAATATTTACTTCTCCTATTTCTTTGTTTGGTCAACTTATACATGCATCTTTTGTCTTCCTTATGTTATGTGTGTAATCTGATTATGTTGATCAATCGGGTTGTTAAGTTGCCTCATACCTCAAGTTTCTCATGCTCGTGGGGAGTGCGGGGGGTTTACTCACTGCTTGGGTTTGAGTGCTTTGCACCCGGAAAAAAAAAATTCGTACAAAGCCCTGGTATTGTGTACCCGAGTGCCACATCGTTGTGTTTCCAAGTGCCTCAACATTGATCAACATAGAGCAGGGTTCCATGGCATTCTGGATTTGACGCCGCAGCTCTGTGTGTGTCGCAGCATTGCAAGTTTGAGCGCCACAACATCATCAGAAAGAGGCCTAAGCGACGCAACCTGCGAGACGGACTTGACAGTTTTCTTTCTCATTTTTCCCAAGGGTTGCGTCCCTTGGTGGTTATAACTTGCTTTCTCTGATATTTCCTGTTAGGGTTAGACCTAAAGAATGGTGCATGTGAGAAAAGAAGCAAGGAGAGAGTGAGATAGAAGAGAGATATGAACTTATTTCTACCAATTTTCATAGTGGATTTCTTGGTGTGGTCTGGCTCTGTAGTTTTTTTCCTAATTTGAGTTTTTCCATGATAAATCCTGGTGTCCTTTACTTTCCGTTGATTTTGCTTTCTTGCTTGTTTCATCATTGGGGTGTTTACTCCTCATCCCCAACAACTTAGTATCTAATATAATATATAAATCATTAAAAGCTAAATTTTTTGCATTACATATTACTTTCTTAGACTCATTAAGGATTTTTTTGTATCTTTTCCAATTTTTTAAGTTTTTATATCTAAACTAATTTTTATAATAAAGTTTCTTATTTTTTTTCTTGCACATTTGATTCCACCACCAACTACTTTTACTATTAGAAGATTTTCTTTTTGATACTTCAAGCACATCATTTACAACATTCTTAATATCATTAACTATTTTTTCGCACATAACATTAACTTCCTCATGTACATTCAAAATCTTAAGATCTTGAATTTTATTCTCAAAAATATTTTTATTAGTGTTCTTTAAATACTCCCATATAATCCTAGGATAACATTTTATTTTATTTTTCATATTATGCCCCTTCATCTTAAAGTCCAAAACAAATAAGCGATGCTAGATAAATAAACTTCACTTGGAATAACTTTATAATTTTTGCAATCTAAACGATCAATTTTTCTTATAAGAAAATAATCATTCTAAGTTTTACTATATCAATTCTTATAAGTGATGAAATGCTCATCTCTTTTTTTAACTAAGATGTTAGTAATTATAAAATCATAAGCTAAATAAAAATCTAATATGATCATACTACCTTTATTAGTCGCTCTAAACTCATAACCATCATAAATGCTTTTATAATTTTCTACCTCTCTACAAACATATCAATTTAAATATTCTCCAATAAAAACTCTTTCTTCAAGAGATATCTTTTGCATTGTTCTTCTAAGTCATTCCAAAATTTAAATTTTAAACAAATATCTAAACCTACTTGAAGAGCATAAGCATTTATAATATTAAGAATCTTAGTATCAACAATAATCTTTAATGTTATAATTCTATCTTTAATTCTATTAATTTCTACAACATTATATTTTAAACTCTTATCTATAATCACACCTACATCATTTCTAATATGACTCCTACCTAAATATCATAATTTAAACCCTAAACTATCAATCTCCTTATCATTCTATTTAACCTATTTAATTTTCTGAATGCATAAAATATTTATTTTCCTATGAATCATGATATCTATTAATTTTAATAATTTGTCTGCAAGAGAACCTGTATTTCAAATTCATATCATAATTCTAGTTTCATGGACAAGCTTTTTTTTTCCCACATCCGTCCGTGATGTGGGAACCCTTGCTTACTTAACATTGTACTCGGGCGCTGGTGTAGCGACCCTTGCATATTTCTCATTGTATTTAGTTCATACAAGCGCGGCTCTTCTAAGGAACGCCCTAACATTAACAAAATGTATTAAATGATTCATGTCATAATTATTCGACAAGTTTCATGCTAGCTATTAACTACCTAACGCAACCCTTCATTTTTGTCATCCAAAAGTTGGGACCTAACAACGACAGTATTATGGGATAAAAATATACGTGTTAATTAATTTATTTTAATTTATTTCTTTAAAAACAAGTTTTTAAGTGTTTTTGGTTTAAAAAAAAAGTTTTTTCTCCATAAAATCCCCTGACTACCCGAACTGAGTACCATTGTCGTCACCCCAATAGAGACTAACACCATCACCCACCCACCCAAGGTTATCTCACCATGGCAGTGCCGCCAAATATCACAATCATGCTCCACCTCCTCTAGAGATGACCTTCATCTTTCCTTCGAAGATAGGTCTCTCCATGCAAGCTCCACTGGAAGTTGTCATCAACATTCTCGCATTGTTGGATATTGACACCATCATCATATATGTGACATCCAAAGCTCGTATCATCTTTCTCAGTTGATGGGAAGTGCCTTCACTCTAGCAAAAACTAAATTCAAATCAATGGCGCCACCAAAAGGCATCATACTGGCAGTTAAAATAACCACCCCTACGCTACTGGATATCTCTATCATCATGACCGCATCGCCAGACGTAGAATTACAATGCTCACACCACATAATTTTTATTATTTTGTTTAAGCATTATATTCATAAGGTATTAAAGATATTTTTATTTCATCTGAAAATACAAACAAAATAAAATAAACAAACAAATTGATCCCAAACAGTCCTTAGATTTGTGGTAATCTCAACACTACACTTTAATCTTTTTATTCAATTTGAATGTCAGTGAGCTTTAGCTTCACCTAGCAACAAAGCACTAACCATATCTATTCCAGCATTTATTGCAGCTTGGACAGAGTAGGTGTAATTTGAATCAGCTGGTGTGGTGATACGATCAATTCCCCCTGAATCAGATATCACAAAGCCCTGACAATTGATTAAAACAGAATCGCATCAATGAATCACAAACAATGGATACAATATGAAGCAGATAATGAACACTACAATTAGTCAATGATGGTAGTAGATGACTTGCCCTAAACTTAAGAGTGTTCTTGAGATAGCCAGTAATAAGAGGGTGATTGGCATGCATTTTCTCTCCATTCCAGCTAGAGTAAGAGACCATGACACTGGAAACACCCTTAATAATGGCATCCCGATAAGCAGGCATGTGGATGCTTAATAGTCCATGTTCACTGATAATGGTGTTATTTTCATCAATTCCTTTGACTGTCCCACCATCACCTACAAAATGCTTAGCGCAGGCTGCAATTTTGTCCCTATATAAGATTGTACTAGCTGGATCAATTACCTTTTTATGAAATGAAACGTTAATGATCATATATATCATGCGGTAAAATTCATTAGATTTCTTGACAGACATCATGGAATTCAAAGAAGAGTTATTTATTGGAAGGTCTCATGAACATTCAAGCTAGTTTGGTAACTTGATGAGGAATCCAACAAGAAATTTTTTGGGCCTCTTTATATTCATCACATCTTTCTGTAAGATCCCTTTTTACAGTTTTTTTATAAAACTAAAGACATTACAAAGTAAAGAACAACAAAAAGTGTCTGGTAATGGAGATATAATCACTGATCTGAAAGCATTTCATCAAAGACGTTCATTTTGAAGGATTTTACAATGCAACAGAGAATACATTCGAATTCATATAAATTATTTAGTTAAGAATCAGTCAGCAAAGAGTAAAATGTTGATTTATGGCAGTTTTCAAAAAATCTTACTTTCCAGCAACATATGGGACACCTTTTTCATGGTTTGCAGGAATCTCCCCTTGTAATCCAGGAATAATCTCAGTCATTTCTTCAACTATTTTAGGATCTTCACTATAGCTCTCGTAGCATCGACCCCACCGAGGATCTCTGCATACCTGTCATTGTCAACCATGTACTTATTGAAGAGTTTCACTGAACATATCATAAAGAAGTATGGAATGGTTATAAATTAGCTTACAGCAATTGTTGGAGCAAAAGTATATTGAATGCCGGTGGCCCTCACTTCTAGAGCAGTTGCTGCACCAATCCTCTTCACTAGATCAGGATCCCTAGAGCCCCAACAGAAAGTTTTAAGGTGAAAATGAAAGGATTTAAGAAACTGACAAATATTAGTTTCATAAGCTCTTTATTGCTAACAAAAATCACTTGGTGGACCCAAGTTTCAATCTGAAGCATTGCAGATTTAAAAGAATTACACAATTTCTGAGCCAACTTATGATAACAAAATATGCATATAAGGTAAATGGATGCAGAATAATAGACCATGATGCAAAAAAGTACAGAATGAGAACTTCTACTATTTTGATGGTTTCAGAGATCCTCATATATAATGTGTTTGCCAAAGCACCTACAACATGACTCAATGATGACCTTAAATAGAACTGGCCATACTTCAATATTTGAGAAAATTCTATTATATTAGCAGCACCAACATCATCCTTATCCCAATTAATAAAGGTCAACATTACGTGTCCTCATTTCATTCATTTTTGTTGATTGTTGTCTGAGATATTAGAGGTTTGATGGAGAAGTATAGAGAGAGTAAGGATGATCTACATATGATTTTTATTGATTTAGAGAAAATATATGATAAAGTTCTAAGAGAAGTGCTAGGGCAAGTTCTAGAAAATAAAAGAGTTAATAATGCTTATATTCAAGTCATTAAATATATGTATGTAGGAATTGTTACTTGTGTTCAAACGCAAGGAGATTTGAGCAACTATTTTTCTATTTCAGTTGGATTACATAAAGGATCAGCTTTAAGCGCATATATATTTGCTTTAGTCATGGATGTTCTTACTAGACATTTGCAAGAAAAATGTGATGATATTCTTCTTGTTGATAAAACTAGAGAGGGAGTTGATGAAGAGCTTAAATTAAGGAGGTTAACCTTAGAGTCTAAAGGTTTTCATTTGAGCAGAATCAAAAATGAACACAGAGTATAATTTTAGTAGTAATAGATATAATGGTCGGATTGTGAGATTGGGTGATCAAGTCATTCAAAAAAGTGCATGCTTTAAATATCATGTGTCTATCATTCAAAGTGATGGTGAAACGGATGAGGATATTATTAGTAGAATGTAAGTTAGATGGTTGAACAGGATGTATGCATTGGGTATGTTGTGTGATAGAAAAATATACCTCAAACTTATGAGAAAATTTTATAAGATGGTGGTGAGACCTACAATGCTTTATGACCCAAAATGTTGACCATTAAAAGAAAAGCATAAAATTAAAATAATTGTTATAGAGATGAGGATGTTCAAGTGGATGAGTAGCTTCACACTTAGAGACATAATACGAAATTAGTATATATGTGAAAAGGTTGGAGTAGCTCCTGTGGTAGATAAGATTAGAGATAGTCGACTTAGATATTTTTGTCACATAAAATGTTGGCCTTTTGATGACCTTGTTAGGAGAGTAGATGTATTAAAATCGACATATACTAAGAAAGGTAAAGGCAGGCCTAAAAAGACTTGGTTAGAAAGAATTAGAAATGACATTTTTTATTAGATTTAAATGAGAATATCAAAAAGCTTCTCAGAATAGTAGAAAAATGAAGTTCCCTAAAAAGTATTTCTATAGAAGCGTCCCATCCAAACAGCGACCAAAAAATAATTTTGAAACGGAGAAGGTAAAAAAATGCCGAAACAAACGATGCCTCAAAACAAGTTAGTGTTTATAGATATTATATCCACTGGTAATTATACAGGACACATGTAAGGATTACATTAACTTTAAAGTAAACCAATGAATACTTGCCTAGTAGCTCCAAGCCCAATATTGTGTGGAAATATAGTTGCGTTGTACACATTATTATTTCCATGAATAGCATCTATTCCATAGATCATTGGAATCCCAAGGCGCGTTGAAAGACTAGCCTTCTGGAATTCATTGATCATATCCACCCAATCCATAGAAGTGGCCATCGGACGTGGAACACTCCCACCACCACTTAATAAACTACCTAAGGAAAATTCGTGATTCAGTACCTATTACAAACCCATAGTTCTTGCATCTCCTGCTAAATTACAACATCTCACCAATGAAATACTTCTTCATGTCTTCCGCCGTAGCAATCTTACGCTCAACCTGTGTCATTTGGCCTATCTTTTCAGCAAGGGTCATCCTCTTCATCAAGTCCTTGATTCTTGTGCCCAATGGTTGTTTTGGATCTTTGTATTTGAGATACTCAGCCTTACCAGTAGATGCACAGTATAATACCGACATGAGACTCAGCAAAAGCAACTTTGCAATCCCCATTTTCCGAATCAACCACAGCAAGGAAAATGAGATTAAAGATAATGGGATTGAGGATTCGTGGGTTCAGGGAGAACAGCAAGGAAAAAAAAAAACTAAATCTTTGAAAGTAGAACATATAAGGATAAGGTTTGGAATACAAAAAGTTACAGGAAAGCTACAATGGCTGTCGAGAAAGAAGCATTGAGAGGAGAAGTATCGAAATCTGTGAGTACAGAAACAGCTAAAACCCTAACCCGTTGCTCCTTACTATGGCGCAGGTGAAGCCAGTGGCTAATTCTGCAGGAAAATAACAGCGCAGCACTTCGACAGTGGAGATGGAAAGAAAAATGCCTCCTTTCTTATAACTTAACTATACATTTTTTATATCAAAAACTTCATAAATATTTTAAAACTTCTTATGAACTAAATTAACGGTCATGTACAACTTCATTTGCTAATTAGAAAATATACTTATGATAAAAATAAGTTATTGAATGTAATTAAACCAATTTTTGTGAAAAAAAGAAGTTATTGAATGTAATTGTTTAATTGTTTCGCAAAAATATTTGTACAAAATTTAATAAGCTTTCAAATCAAAATCTTATGATTGAGGTAAAGATCTCAACTAATTAAATAAAAGACAAATGTTAATTATATACAATTATGATTAATAAAGATTTTAAATTTTATAAGCATACTAAAGCACATTTAAAAATGTGAATTTTATATTTTTGATGCAAAAGAAGAAAATTTAATTAATTATTTAAAAAAAATTTCTAAGCAATCAAATGAGCCCATAATCAAGGATTTATATATATATTTTTTTAAATATATTTTCAATTTTTAACTACATCCAATCATTTTTAAATTTAGATTAATGCTAACTCCTCAAAAAATTTAATAAACTAATTTATTTATATTCTAATTTTATATATGATTCAATAAAATTTAAAATATATTATTTATTTTTAATTAAAAATAATTAATGCCATGACTTTTATGATTTTTTTTTCCAAGATGAATTAGCAATGCTTCTATAACATATTGTCAATATACCCCACAATGCCACATGGCATACTAAAAGGATATATGCAATTATCTATAAAAATAATTATATAATTATTATGAGAAAATTATATTTTTAAAATTTATAAGTATTATAATTTTTTTTTCTAAAAAATTAAAGAACAGAACTTTGTAGCTATTGCATTCAACAAGATATAACTATAAAAATTATTTTTAGAATCCATTTGGAATAGCTGTAGCTTTTTGTAAAAGTAGTTATAAAACTCTTATGAAGAAAGTAATTTTTTTAAAGCTACTATTAAAGAAACTTCCTAGAATAAATTTTTTAAAAGCGATAAAAAAAACAACAGTCATACAAAATTGTAGTTGTGAAAAATAAAGCAGTAAGAAAGTTGTCTCAAGCGAATTCTTGGGATAACTTTCTTACTATTAAGGCTTTTCTGCATTTACTTTCAACTTCTATAACGTTTGAGTCTTTTTAATTTTCAAACACATAATTATATTTTCTCCCCCTTTCTATTCAAACTAAGAATGAATAATTATATTCAAATTTTTACATAAAAACAATGGAAACTATGTTATATTCATTTGAAGGCACTCACACTTAGCTCAATAATAAGTGAATAATTTGAAGGAAAAATATATATTTCAAACACAACTATGATACTTGAAAAGAGTTTTATAAAAATCATTCAATTTGATCATTTAAAATATCACTTAAAATTATGACTTATTTATTATCTCAATGGTATTTTGGCATAAAGATAAATGTTATACATATTTTTTTAATAAAATAAATAATAAAGAATTTCTTTTCAGTTATATATATTATTAGATATATATAGTAAAAGTCATTCATTTATTCGCACTCAACCAAACTAATTAACCAACTTTATAATTTCAAAGACCATCTTCAACCGAACTGCAAACAAGTGTTTATCTGAAAGTACGAGATGGGCCAAGAGGGGGGTGAATTAGAAATTTGTTGTAATAAAATAACAGTCTTAAACAGGAGCTCTAATATTTTTTGTGTTTTTAAATCTTAAACATGAAAATTAAATTTATGTAGAAGTGAATGCTTAAAACAAGATTGCAATAATAAGTGGTGAAATTTTAACTTACTCAACAAAGAATTATAATATAATTTTCATCAAGCAATTATAACGAATGTAAAATGCAAATTATAAACAAAGTGTAGTAAGGGAAAAATCACACCATAAGATTTATAGTGGTTCGGTCACTCTACCTACGTCATCTCCCTAGAGTCCTCCACTCCGGGAATTTCACTACATAAATGTAATTCTCCTTTTACCCTCATAGCAAGGCAGAGAATCATTTACAAACCTCACTTTCACCCTCCCAGTGTGGCAGAGTACCAAACTCTATGTCACCCTCACGGTGATGGTAGTGAACCTTCTCTTTTTTCACACTCCTGTTGAAAGCAAAGTACCTTAGAGGACACGAACCATAAAGGATCTCCCCCATAAAAAGTTTCCCAAAATATCTTCTCGGGCCCCAGGAGAAGAAGCATGTAGCAAGCTAGGAGCAACTGTGTGATCTCTCTCACACTCGTTCTCCCTCACAAACACACCTTCTCCCTGGGGGGGGGGGTGTGAATTGGTATATTAAAAAATTAATCCTAAACAAGAGTACTAATATTTTTTTTTCAAAATAATTAGAAATAAGCAATTTTGATTTTTGAATGTAGAAGCTATCAAATTAAATATGCCTTGAAAAAATAATGATGATGAAATTCTTGTTGTCACAACAAAACAATAATTTCTGATTTTTCACCATGCAACTATAATGAATATTAAAAGCGAGAAAGTAAAATGCAGAAAATGGAAAAAGCACACCATAATTTTTTATAGTGATTTGGTTAACCTTGACATATATCCATTCCCCGGAGTGCTCCACTCCGAGAGTTGCACTACTCAAAAGAGATTCTCATTATGCTCCCACAGCAAGGCGGAGAAGCCTTTACAAAACTCACTTTCATCTTCGCCTGTGTGACGGAGTGCCGGACGCTATATCACCCTACCGGTTACGAAAGTGGACCTTCTCATTTTTCTCCATCATGGAGAAGGCAAAGAACCTTCGAGGACTTTAACCTAGAAGCCTCTCTCCCTAGAGAGCTCCCACAAGACTCACCAAGGCCACAGGAGGAGCAAGCGTATAGCTAACTCGGAGCAACCGTGTGACCCCCTCACATTACTTCTCCCTCAGCTCAAGCTCACATTCTCCTTTCTCTCACGAGCCCTGAATCTCTTCAAGTTCCCTCTCTCGAGTTCTTTCGATTGTCACATTCCTCTCTCTCTCTCTCTCTCTCTTTTTTTATGAATAAAAGCATTGTGTATATAATAGGCTTGAATAAACCCTAAAAATTTAAATTAGTTGTTATTATTCGTACAATACGATACGAAATTGTACAGTAGGATTAGTTCAAAACAACTTCCATCATAATACAAATGAGGACGAATAAGTAATAATTTTTCAATACATCGTACAATACGATATGAATATCATCCAGTATGATTTAATTTATTTTTGTTCGTATATGACAAACGATGGGATGACAGAAAATTGTCTTTGTTCATTGTCTAGTACTTCCCTATTCGTATAGTATGATCAGTTGAGTTTATGCAGTTCGTCTTGTACGATGTATTAATCGTACAGTTCGGTTATTTCAAAAATTAAGGTTTTGTCTGGTACGATCTTTGGTACGAACAAAAATCATATCGTTCATCGTACGGTATGATCCCATTCATGTAGTACGATCATCAATCATTAATTAAACCATTATTTTATTGACTAATCACGGGGGTTAATTTTAGCAAGATTTCAAATATTCGTATAGTACGATGTGTTTAAAATTTAAATTTAAAGTATTGCTTAAATTAATTTGGCAGCTAGGGTTTGGGGTTGAAAACAAATCGTATAATACTATAAAAAGATTGTATAGTACGATTAGTTCACTGAGGCTGATTTCCAGTTAGCCGTTAAGCCTATTTCTCGATTATATATTGTACAGTACGATTTAAAATCGTACAATACGACCTATATAAAAAATAATTTTACACTTTTTTATAAAAAAAATCTCCACTTGTGTGTGTGTGCATGGTCATTCAATCTGCATACACAATTTTTTGGCCAGTCTCAAGAAATAAAAAAATAAAAATTACAGACTCTTTCATATCCTATTCTACCCAGTTTTGAGTTTTCAGTAGTCATGAGCAGTGTGTATTATCCCTGAAATGTTAGTACTCACAGACAAAAATAACATTTAAAATATATAGGGAAGAATGAAATGATTTAATAAATATTATTTGTCATCATCAAAATCGTAGATTAGACATCTTGAATTGCAACATTACCGTCCGCCCAAGCTCCACCAAAATGTCATTTACAGTCTCATTTTTGAGACGTGAACAGTGCAATGTCAATATTAGCACAACTGTTCACAAAAGTTTTTTTTTTAATCATTAATTCCATAAGCAGAGAATGGTGGAAGCATTTCTCATATAATTTTGTTTGTTTGTTTTGGGAATGGGGGTATCTACCTGCTGCCACCCTAAAGGAGGAGCATTGCGGCATAACTAATCCCTTGGTGGGCCTACCAACAACTAACATCACAGGTGCATGACCACACTATTATTTTCTCCTCATTTAAGCAGTCCCACGACATGAGAGTAGAATTGAATATGTGTTAGGAGTTCCCAACCACACTCGCCCTCCAACTCAGTTAAACTCGATGGAGTTCTCTAGTATAATTCGATTGAGAAATTATATATATAAATATATAAGGGAATCCTCTTGTAGATAAATTATACTATTTTGAGTGAAAATGAGTTTTTCGGTGGGGATGACCTAAGATCCAAAAGGCTATCCTGTATTTCGCCTTCAACACACTGTCACTGCCACGCCTCACCTATAATCCTTGCCAAGGGCCAAGGCCATGGTGGCTCTCTGCCTTCCCTCGCTCCACCTCTTCTTCTATCCCTCTTCCAGCTTCCGCTCCTCCTTCTATTCTCCATATAAGACTCCCATATCTTTACCCAAGCTCTGCGCGTCCCTGATTGCCAGGGAAGAAGTTCCAGAGGCGGAGGAGCCGCCTTTACCTTCTTCTTTAAGGGGAGTTGATCGAAAACCCTCGTCTATTCCTGAAGGCGCAGTGACCCCACTCTCGGTGGACTTCAATGCTTGGTACCTTGATGTCATCGCGAAGGCAGAGCTCGCCGATTACGGTCCCGTACGCGGAACCATGGTAATCCGGCCGTATGGATATGCTATATGGGAAGCGATACAGGTTTAGTTTGTTATGCAGTTTGTTTCATTCTGTTAGTTTGCCTCACAAGTTATTGTGATTGGATTGGGATTTTTTGTTGATGTAGGAGTATTTGAATGCAAAGTTTAAGGAGACTGGACACAGTAACATGTACTTCCCTCAGGTGTGTGATTTATGGCTTGTTTGGGCGCTTTTTGTCTACAGTTTTGTTGTTTGAGATTTTAGATTGTATTATCGAGTTAGGGGATGTGCGGATTAGACTGGAGAAGAAGGAGAAGCAGAATAATTCCCTTAGGATTTTCTGAAAACTGTATAAAAAAGTTGCTCCACACTATTACAACAATTCTATTTGACCGGCCCTGCCATTAATGGACACAAGGAAAATATATATTTCTTACTGTTTTAATAGCTATTGTGTCATAAAAAATATCTTTCTGTATCCTTGAGAAATACACTTCCCAAATGCGGCCCGTCTTCCTCACTATTACATTCTTCTTGGGGGATCCTATTGGCCTTTGTTCAGCCTTATATTACTAACCTGTTAACATATGATCGGGTAGTGGTTAGAGTTGGTAATACAATAAAAAGATCACTTTTAAACTAATTTCTTAGTTGAATGTTATTATTTGAGGCTATATACTGGTTGCTTCCTTTCTGATTTTCTGTTTTATGTTCGTTACTTTTGCTTTATTCTACTAATATATTGCTTCAGTTCATACCGTACTCATTTATAGAAAAGGAAGCCAGCCATGTTGAAGGTTTCAGTCCAGAATTAGCAGTAGTGACCATTGGAGGAGGAAAGGAGCTTGAAGAAAAACTTGTGGTATTCTATTTAAGAACTCATATTCATGATGATCATATCTCTTTATGAAGATCAATATTAGTTTCCAACTTTAAAACTAATGTTGTTGTTTATCAACAATTCAACTCTAACTTTATATAATTTGCTTTGGCAGGTAAGGCCAACTAGTGAAACAATTGTGAATCACATGTTTACTCAATGGATTCAGAGCTATCGGGATCTTCCTATAATGATTAACCAGGTAGGCTCTTATGTTATTTTTTTCCTTTGTTTTGTTTTTAAAAAATTGGTAGTATATTTTTTTTTTGTTGCATCATTATTAGAAACTTGTCACAATTCTTGTGAACACACTTCATTATCTTTTAGTGGGCTAATGTTACAAGATGGGAAATGAGGACTAAGCCATTTATAAGGACTCTTGAGTTTCTGTGGCAGGAAGGGCATACTGCCCATGCCACTGCTGAGGAGGCTGAAAAAGAGGTGGGAATCTGCCTCCCTGTTCAACATGATATTGAGTTTACTGTATATTTGATATCATCCTCTATCTTGCTGTGCCGCAGGCATTGCAGATGATTGATGTGTATAAAAAATTTGCTTATGAGCAAGCTGCGATACCTGTTATTGCAGGTAGAAAATCGAAGGCAGAGACATTTGCTGGTGCTTCCTGTACCTATACAATTGAAGCCATGATGGGTGATAGAAAAGCCTTGCAAGCAGGAACTAGTCATAACCTTGGCCAGAATTTTTCTCGTGCGTTTGAAACTCAGGTAATAAACGTGGAATAGTTTTTCTGTTATAGCAAAGGCATTTAAGAGCTTTATGTGATGCAATTCTCAAAGTTTAACGTTGTCAAAAATAAAATATGTTTGTCTTACAATGATCAATTTGACAAATGAACTTTTACAAAATATAACTTAAAATGTAATATTTTTTTTTTTTTTGTAATTTTCAAATTAAGCAGGTGTTTGTATGTATATGCCTAGGACGTTAACTTATCATTAAGATTGAAGAATTTTTTTCGTAATTTTCAAATTAAGCAGGTGTTTGATACAAAAGTTATTTTTGACGATTGATGCTGATTGCTTGTGTTTGTTTGTTCCTTCGCATATAATTATCTATCTAATATAAATTTTGGTACAAGAGGAAGGAAATCATGTTTGGGAACGCGCATAAGAGGATGTATATTCTAGAGTGTTTATATTTGATGTTTATTTGTATCTGGCTATGTAAACCATATTTTTGAAAGAGCAAAAGTAGACATAGGATGCCTTGATTAACAGTTTCTGTCAGTTGCCTAAGTCAAAAAGTGCATATTTTTGCATGCAAACTGATAAATCCCTTAACAAATCTGTCAGTTCACAGATGAAAATGGAGAGAGGCAACATGTTTGGCAAACTTCTTGGGCTATTAGTACTCGCTTTGTTGGTGGCATTATCATGACACATGGAGATGATACTGGCTTAATGCTTCCTCCCAGGCTGGCACCAATACAAGTAATTCCCTTTCATCCTATCATGCTCCCTTCTGCATTTTTTAGCTGCTCTTGTTTGCTTTCTTGGGTCCAAAAGAATCTTAATTTCCAACAGTTTGTGGGCGACGAACCCTCCATGTATTTTCCATAATAGAAGGTGGTCTTGCATATTGTAATATAGCTACTGGCTATTTTTTAAGTATAAAATATCAGGAATATCTGATTTTTTTTTTAAATTCCAGCTTATCATTAATAAGAGGGTTCCCACTCATGGGCACATTTATGTAATTTTCTCTTGCATATGAAGATTGACGATTACTTCATTATATATGAGGTTGGTTGGAAAATGATCCTCCATCTCTTTTATTTGATCTTCTGTGTCCCTGTTTTTCCTGCTAGGGTTGGCAAATTCTGTCCTTGAATATAGTTGATCTCAGTTTCTGGAATGGAGTAGTTGTAATTGAAGTGCTTCAAATTGGAGCTATTCCAAAAATGTAGAGGTATTTCATATTGTTTTTTGGCAGAGAAACTGATAAACCGGTTAAGCAGGTGGGTCCCACTAGGTGGGCAAGAAGATCAAAGAGGAGTAATTCCTTACCATAGAAGAACAAGATTTGAAGGAGTTAATTAGGAGATGTTTCCTAATTAAAAAGGACAGATTTGGGGGCTGAATTGGAGGGGATCAATTAGGAAATGTTTTTTAATTAAAAAAAGGCAGATTTGGAGGCTGATTTGAAGGGAATTAATTAGTAAATGTTTTGTAATTAGAAAAGACATATTCAGAGTGATAACATTTCTAAACCTTCTCTCTCTCTCTCTCTCTCTTTATATATATATATATATATATATAAAGCTGGTGGTTTATTTATTTAGGCTATTACTCAAGTAGTTTTAATTTGTTTACTTTAGCTTCTATTTGTGCACTCAATGTCAAATTCATCTTTTATTTACATTACTGCTTCTGATTATATTCTAGTAATTTGCTTACCATCTGATTTCTTAGTTTTTTACTGTTTCTCTCATAAAGCAGTTCTCATTAATTTTGAAGATAAAATTCTAAAAATTGTAGACGAATTTCTGTTCCGATGCTGATTTCTCAAATTTATTTGCCTGAGTTATATTTTCTCAGGTTTGTTTCATTTTCTAATTTTTACAAATTGTCTTGCGGCCTAAGATATATCTTTGGACATTTAAAATCAGAATGATGAATTATGAAGTTTACAAGGTGTTAGGCAAGCTTTGCAAGCCAATTAAGAGTACCTGCATATGTGAAAGTTTCCTTGTCATACACGAGTCTGTACCTTAAGTGCTGGGATAAAATAATTCATAATCCTTTTTTTTCTTAAGATATTGCTAAATTTTATTGCTGTTATTGCATGTAATTCAGGTTGTAATAGTTCCAATTTGGAAGAAAGGCAATGAGAGAATTGGAGTTCTTTCTACTGCTGCATCAGTTGAACAAATTCTGAAATCTGCAGAGATCAAAGTCAAAATTGACAACTCAGAGCAGAGAACTCCTGGTTGGAAATTTAATTTCTGGGAGATGAAAGTAAGAATTCTTGTTTCATATAGCTTCATCATGTATGTAAATCTTCATGGTCATGCCAAAACAAGATGTTACTTTATTTTCCATCTTTGGGAGATTAAAGCAAAAATTCACCTATCATGCAACTTAATTATTGAGGTTCAATGTATTTATGTTGATTTCAAATGTTTCCTTGTTTTTATTTTATGAGCTTCAAATTGGTTTCAATAATTAAATTGACCCTCTTACCAATCTTTGGCTGTGTGCATATTTTGAAAGTCAGGATATTGGTTTATTGTCAATAGAGTATCTGATAGAAAATACTTGAGTTCGCAAGTAACCCTAAGATAATACTTGAGTTCGCAAGCAAACCTAGCCCAAGTTGATGAACAAACAACAAGGAAACTGCTGTTTGCAGCAGGAAAACAGCTCGATAACAGTGGAAAACAGAGAAAAACTGAATAGAAATCTGGAGAAAATCAAGCCAACCACTTGTATTCCACTAGTAGATGAATAAAAACAGCAACCATACAAGATTATTCAATTCGAGAGGAAGATAACTCTCCAAAATCTCTAACCAAGAAGACTAGATCCCAAATTCAGCCAAAATTCAAGATAAAACCCTAAATCTCCCTTAGCCCCTAATTAACTCCAAAGCCCCCATACAAAATCCCTAAACAACTTTTCTATTCAAAAGTTCCCCCCTTCCATTCAAAATTTTCCTCCAACACTTGAATTAAACCAAAGCTTGGGCCCACAAGGCTTCCGCCCCCCCTTCCCCATTTCCGCCCCATGTGGGGCCCGCCTGGAGTAAGTAAGGACCGGTCCAGCCGGCCCCTCCTGGGCCGGCCTAACATAATCTTCCTTGAACTGTATTCGTCTTGGTGGAATGTTCCATTCCTTCTCCAAATAAGGGGGGCAGTAGGGATGCTAACTAGTGCTTATTTCATGTACTTTGTTCCTATTGCTTGCTTAATATATATTGTGTTGCGTATGCAATTTCCATTCCGAAGCCCATTTATCTTGCTTTGCTATGATTATGACTTGTACCTCGTGCAAATTTAGGCATGGATAAATATATAACCTGTTCTTCAGGGTGTTCCCGTGAGGATTGAAATTGGTCCTCGTGATGTTGCCAATGGTAGTGTGGTGGTAAGTCGGAGAGATGTGCCCGGAAAACTTGGTAAAGATTTGGGGATATCTATGGAGCCTTCAGTGTTGATAGCTCATGTGAAGAGCACGTTGGAAGATGTCCAGGCATCACTTCTACGAAGAGCTACACTTTTTCGTGACAGGTTGAAACTCAACTTCATTTCTCTTTAAAAATTTGCTTATTTTTACACTCAAGCCTCTAAAGTAATTTCTACTCGAATGCTTGTAGCCTGCTGTTCAATTTTCCCTTACAAATGTCTTCTTCTGTTATATTTTGAATAGGAAAAATATCATCTTATTTATTAGTTTCCTTTTGGTTTTAATGCTTTATACTCTACTCTATGCCTTTATATGTCCAACCATCTATGATTCTGAGTCTATGGTAGAACGGTAATATATTTTTATTTTAAAGATCGAGATCATAATCATTTGCACAATCCTCGTTTTGCGTTACTGCAAATTTGGTCATTTTATTATTGCCCACGTGTACTAGCTTGTCATCACTTCTCGAAAATTATCCTCTTCAAGAAAGTAATCTTGATTTCTCAGATGTCCTGTATGTTTGTAACATTGAGTTTTGTTTCCTCTGAAAGTTGATGATTTTTGACAGAAACATAGTGGATGTGAGCTCATACGAGGAGTTGAAGGAAGCAATTTCCCAAGGAAAATGGGCAAGGGGTCCTTGGTCAGCAAGGTAAGGATTGTAATCCAAGTCAATAATATTAGACTACCACCTCAACAAAAAAAAAAACCCTGCCTGTTTGAGAAGAAATTATTCTATGCAGACACCGGACGGACCATAGGACAATCAGAACGTGCCACATTATCCGATACATAGTATTGGTACACAACAAAAAGTGATGTGACGCATTTTGATTGGCCTCTGGACATCGTCCGGTGTTCGCACAAAATAATTTTTCGAGTTTGATACAGCTTCTTTGTTGATGAGATGGATCAATTTCAGATATGAAATAAGCCACATGTGAACTTGGGTAGAAACTAAGGGTCCATTTCAAGCGGCCTTATAGTTATCACACTTCTGTCAGCCTTCTTTTCTAAATTTTTTGTGACAAGAAATTATTTTTTACAATCAGATATGTTATAGTATAGTAGTTATACTAAGGCTGTTGTATAGTTTTTTTGAAAATGAAAAAATTTATAATGTTCATAGTTGCTTAAAATTTTTTTTTCCTATAACAGTTTTACATCTATTTTTATTGACGAACTTCAGCCACTACAATCAGACCCAAAATAAACTCTCTTGCTACTGATTTTCCTTTTCATTAAAAGTCAAGTATACGACAATTAACTATTTCTTGTGAAAAAATGTAGATTATGCAGTTGATTATGGGTTAGTTTGGAATGGCTTTCTTACTGCTTCTCAAAATAACTTTTTAGTACAAAAAATAATAATTTTTGTACTAAAAAATTATTTTAAAAAACAGTAAGAAAGTCATCTCAAATGAAGCCTATATCAGAGTAAGAGAAACATTTGATCTGCTAGTGTGAACTAACAGTGCAGTTTATGCCATCTTGATAATCCCAGTGATGTTGAAGAGCAGAAGGTGAAAGAAGAAACAGGAGCAACAATAAGATGCTTCCCATTTGATCAACCTGAGGGCTCCAAGGTCTGTTTTATGACTGGTAATCCAGCTGAACAAGTTGCTATTTTTGCAAGATCATATTAACATACAGCACTCATCTCCTTTCTTTGTTCTCGAGTGCTTGTATCATTAATATTATCTTGATTATAAATTCATTTATTTCTCCAGACAAGTTATCCTTTTGATTATTAACAGCCAATAATGGTATTATTAGCAATTCTATAATATTACACTTCGTTTGGGGCGGTATTTTGGCACTATTTTTTCATTACTTTCAAGAAAATTTGAGACTAAAAAATTGTCGTAGAAAACAGTAAGAAAATTGTTTCAAATATAATGTAGGTTTGTTTGGGACTTCTTTCTTATTGCTTTGTAAAGCAAATTTTTAGTACAAAAATTTATTTTTTTTACTAGAAAGCTGCTTTAAGAAGAAGTAAGAAAGCCGTCTCAAATGAAGTCTTATTATTAACTTAATTAGTCATTTTATATTACATAATTGAAATTTCAATTCATTTTATTAAAAAAAAATTAATTTAATATTTATGGATAAAATTTCAACCATCTAAATTCTAAAATAGAACGTATGGCTGCTTTTAAGTGGCTGGAATGTGATAATTGTATGTTGTAAACTTGCAATACATGTCCGGAGGGTCGAGACGAAAACTTGCATAGTATTTATTGAAACTATATTAGTTTTGAGGCTGCAAGAAACGAGAAATTATTGTGTGCGGAGTCCGAATGCAGAGAATTTTTTGGATTATTGACCGTACTGAGTATGCTTTTCTTACACTTTATGTATTTGTAGATACTGTTATTTATTTGTAATAAATAAATAATGAATCCTCAGCTAATTATTTACTGCTTATTTATTGCATATCTATAAATACGTAGTATATAAACAGTAAATATACAAAGCATAGGTAGAACTTATGTATAGGATATGCAGTAATCTGATAAATTTTCTGCATTCGGACAGTGCACAGAATAATTTCCCGCAAGAAACAGTGTAATTTGAAGAATTTAAGATCGAGTGTCTGTTATCTGAGAATTACTCCATTAATATTAATCGTGACAGTAAATTTTCAAATGAGCTTATTGCAAAAAAAAAAGACAAAATTGAATTTTTATTTATAAAACCTAAAATTCTAACACTTTAACGAGCAATGTCTAGCTCATTGGAGTGATCGATCTCGTTAGTCATACGACCTAAATTATCCGTTCAGCCAGCGACGGCAACCTCCTAAAGAAATTTGTTGCCGGCGGCGGCATTGGTCCCCGGAAAACTGGATGCCGCATAAAATAAAACGCGGCCAGCACCGCCACCATTCTCGCCGGCATCACATACATCACCACCGCCAACACAAAGCATCCCGCGACAAACACCGCCGTGGCCCCTGGATCCCTCCACGACAGCAGCGCCTGAACCCTCTCAGCCTGCGCTGCCGCATCCCCGAGCATCGCTTGCAGTCTCGTTCCCACAGCCCTCATTCTCTCATATCTCGCCCTCACTGTCTCTTCTCCCTTCACACTCGGCACTGCATCGAATTCCTCATCAAGCTCTTCCCTCTCTGCCCCTTCCGCCTCTGATTCCCTTGCCGCCAGCCCCGCAGCAGGCACCTTAGGTCGCCGCCTATAACGCCATATTCCGACCAGTCCTAAATGCACCGCCACCGCTGGTACGATCATATCGGGGAACCACATCAGAAGCAGAATTGCCACGTGCGCCATTATCGTCGCAGTAGGATTCCGCCACTCACGGATCTCCGACATCCACCGCACTCCGTCGCCGACCCACGACATTGCAGCCGCGATCCGTCCCCAATTCGCTCGCACGCGCCGCATACTGAAAACGGGATCTGATGCCTCCAGCGTCCACATAACCACCTCTCGCCGCAGCGAGGGCTCCGCCCTCGCCAAATGAGCCGCTGAAACCCTGGCCGCTGCAATCCGCAGCGACTCTCGTTGTGGATATCCGATCGGACGGATGTGATGCATCGCCGGTAGAATCGGCAGCGTGTAGACATGAAGCAGGTCGAATTGCGACACGGTCCTTGTGAACCGCATTGCGATCTCAATTTCCCCAGTCCGCTTGAGTCCCGAGGGAAGAAGAAGGAGAAGCGGGTAGAAGCACCGGTAGGAGCGATTCGTCTCTAGGGTGGAGATACGGATCCGGATCCGCCCTAGTGGACGACAATTAGCGGTGGATTCTTTGGATCCACCAGTGACGTCGTCGAAGACGACGATGGTGAGTACGGTGGCAGTATCGAAGACGGGCCAGTTGAACTGCTCGTTCCAAGCGGGGTCGAAGGAGTCGGCGACGGTTCGCGTCCGCGCCCACTTGGGGCCATATTTAGCGACGGCGAAGGCGTCGGTGGTACCCTTGCCGTCGACGGCCTTCATCGGAAGTAGTCCCCTGCATCCGATAACGCCGATATCGATAGTCCCCACTGCCGGCCGCCAAAGCTGCCGCGCGGACGGCCGGTTGTCACTAGTCGCGTGCGTTTGCTCGTCCTGCACGTGATAACCCCCGTCGAGACAGATACGCACGTGCAATCTCACGCCGAATAATCTCCGTCCGCAGCCAGTGGCGGTGGAGGGAAGATCAAGCCAGCGAGAGGCAACTTTGCGGTCATCGACGCGGCGTTCGACGGAGGAGAGTGGGATCGCAGCGGAGCCGAGGATTGCAACTTCCTTTCCTTGTCTCGATTCAAGGTAAAGGACGAGGCTCTCCTCCTCGCTGAATGGCTCGGCAGTGACGAAGAGGAGGTCTTCGTTCCATGCCGGCGCACCATTGCGAGGGAAGGCGGCGCGGGTCTTTAAGACCTGGAAGCCTAGAGTAGCGCGGATGAACAGAGATATCTCCCTCGTCGGCGTCGATATTTCCTGTGCCTCGATCAAGGTGACGCGGAGGTACCAAAGCTTCGGCGATAGGTAAATTTTGGACCGGGAGGTCGAAGCCGCGTCGGCCTTCCAGGCTTCGGCGAATGACTCGTCGGCTTGAGTACCAACCCATGTTGCGAGCATAATGTCGCCGCCGCGGGCGGCTCCGCTACCCTCGAGGCGGTACCACTGCGGGGCCAGTGGTCCGTCCGGTAGGTCGCGCACCGGCAATTCAGAGACATCGAAGCATACGCCACCGAGGAAGTAGCGGTCATCGTCGCCGACGAAGGCATCAGGCGGGTGGTCCCAAACGGAGATTTCTAAGTTGGAGTCGCTGGATGCCGGGTCACGGGCGAAGGCAAAGGTTTGATCCCATTCGAAGAAGGCGGATCGTCGGGCGGTGCAGGTGGCGGTTTGGCGACCGTTGGCCGCGACTCGCACATGCGGCTTGGCATTGCCAGGGAGTGACCTGGCGCGAACGACTCGGATAAAGACGTATTGCATCTTGTCTACTAAGTCGTAGGAGGATCTCTCCACGGGCTCCGGCACAGGCGGTTTTGAAGGCAGTTTGGGGACGGCTTCTACCGGCAGCGGCGGTGGCGGTGATGCGGCCGCCTCTTTTTGGGGTGCCGCCGGACCTTGCGTTTCCGTTTCGGTGGACGGTGGTTCTGTCTCTTGCTCCGGTAAATTTTCACAGTTAGTCTCCTTCTCCGGTGGTGCCTTTGCCTCTAACTTTGCCGCATCTACTGGATCAGCGGCTTTCTCAGCTGCCGGTGACTTTTCTGCAGTGGCATCATCGTCAGTCGGTGGCACCTCCGCCTCGCCGGTGGGATTGTCTTCTTTCATCGCCGCTGCCATCGAAGAAGCAACCGACATATCATCATAGTAAATACGGAGGCCAATATCTCCCCTGACCCAGCTAAAGAAGCTCTTCTTCTCCAAAGGGAAATGAATGAGCGCCTCCTCTCCCTTCCTAACAAATTGTCTGAAGTCCAGCCTGACGCGGCCGAGGAAGTTATTCCTCCGGCTCGGGCCGACCCGCTGGTCATGAAACACGTCGACTTCCAGCGGTTCTCCGGTGATTTTGGCGGAGCTGCTTACATTGAACTCGAGCAGCTCGTTCCAGGTTGGGTTGAGGTTGCGGCATATGGTTTGTGTGCGCCGCCGCTGCCCGTCAAAGTCTGCCACCACGTACGGGCTTGATGTTCCCATGCCGTCCTTGGGCAGGAGGTCACGGGCTTCGACGACCTCAACGAAGAGCTTCCTCGCCGTTGCAGCCATGACAAGCTGGAATATTTGTCAGGTAAACAAATTCACACTACCATGCCATTGTTTTTTTAGCTTAGTCTCAGTTCCTTCTTCGTATATGCTGCTGATAGGTTGGAGGAGTGAGCTTTGTTGATGCATTTATAGACCTGAGTTGGAGCTGATTAAGGTTTTCTTTGTTATAATTTATCACATTAATTTATTAGTTAGGAATTTTGGTTATCAACTAAGGGCACCTCCAACCGAAAATCTCAATTTTCACTCCAAAATACATTGAAACTAAAAATGCCGTGATTCATCTCCAATCGAACTCCATTTTGCGCCCTTTTGCGAAGGTGCCTTTTTCCTCTTTCGCGCGTTTCTTTGGCAAATCCAGTAGAGACAGTAAAATAGTGTATGTAAACAGTGGGACGTCAATATTGGCGTGGAACTGTTCAGTTTTGCCGTTCGGTTGGAGCTCGCGAGCAACATCATTCATGCATTTGGAGTTTGGTTGGAGAATGCCTAGAGATCTTTAAATACAAGCTAAGAGAGGCTTCTTTGCTTCATTTGCAAGGCTGCAAGAAAAGACGTTTGGGTGCTCTTTTGTTGTTGTAAGACTGCACTTTCAATGGAGATTCCCTATCTGCTGACTTGGCTTTGACTCGAAACATTTGGTGAGGGGCTCATCTCTTCGTGTAGAGGTTGGGAAAGCAGGCAAAAGTATCTGTTTTTGAATACCTTTCTCTTGTCGGCCATAGTTTTTTCCCTTTACCAAAGTTATTGAAATTGTTGCACTCTGAATAATATATATTTAGATGTTAATACGTGGCTTTAATGTATATATATATATATATATATATATATATATAATGAGAGAGAAAGAGATTTTCATTTTATTTCTTTCATGTCTCTCCATCTCTTTAATCTTTCTCAAGAAACCGATTGTGAACCCTCAAGTGCTATCGGCTGTTAGGCATATACACTATGCATGTTGGAATTAAACTTATCTGTAAATGATACCAGACCTTGCTAATAGATTTTTGGCTGGTTAGAACTAGAGAATTGAGGGATGTTAGTAAGTATGGAGAGTGAGTAAAAAAGTTATAATGTCTTTGTAAGTTCTCTTAACAGTATGAAGTCCACAATGTCTCTTCACCTCTTATTTATAAGATTGAAAGAGCTATACAAAAGTAACACCTAGACCAAATAAAAAACAATGCATGATAGGACCAATACAAACTGACGCAAATATGCTGACTAATTGTATGATGTACACGTGGACCTCTCATCTCGAGTGAGTGCATTGGGCGACTCTTTAAGGTTGAGTGCTCTAGGTGATTTTTCAAGACTTAGCATATATAGCGAGTTGTGAAGGCGAGTCACTAGGAATGAGAGATGAGTCCCTTGGGTGGAAATGACTGTGAGCTAGGGGCAAGTCCAATCAGTGAGGTAATGGTCATAGGCTTAAGTGTTGTGCGCTTCATATAGCTTGAATAAGTATGTCAACGATATGTAGGTAGCCTTTATTATGGACAGTCGCTATGGGAGAGCTGGTTCTATTGGCGCAAGTACTCCTCAAGGCAAATATCAACCTAAGCAAGCCCCTCAGAGGAGCTCGTCAAGGACGATTACACATTTGGTTTGATCTTTCAGGGTTTGCCCGCACACTGTAATCTCCGTAAGGGGAGCGACCGCTTGCCCACACATTGGTGTTGTTAATTGTTGCGTAGGGTGAGTGTTTCTTTGACTGCATGCTTCTCCTGTTTGAGCTTCTTAATAGGAACATGTTTAGATACATACGAGTTACCAACATGAGAATGGATTATTTTATATTTAGTTCCTTGATTTAATTGCTCATTTGAAAGACGATTTATTAAAAGGAAAGTAAATTTAAGACGAGTTATTTATGATCTTTTCGAAGCATAGAACAAACGGTAAGTAAAAGTTACTACCCCATTATTACTATTGCCTCAAGCAGCGCACCCTCCTGCAAAAGCCTCTTTACGAAATTCTTTTGACCCTATAATATCTCTAGCTATAAATAACAACTAGGAGTGTTGATGCTGCTACTCTCTTTTTCCTCTAACTTAAAGTATTTGCTACTAACTCGCTTGAGATGGCCAATCTAAGGAATTTTTTATTAGGTCCGCACACCTAATGTAGCTCTACATTTAGACGTCAATAAAATGTCGCCACATGTTCTCTTTATCGTGCGGCTCGATAACCTGGCCCGGACCGGAACCCGGTATTGCTATGTATTAGCTAATTTGTGCAGATCAGGGTATTGTTAGGTATTGCTCGGTAAAGAGAAATACCATTCTGTCAAGACCAATACCTAGCAATACCCCGGTTTTACTAGGTATTGCTCCGTATTGGTTTTGACAGAGCGGTATTTCTCATTATTGTCAAGCAATACCTAACAATACCAAGCAATATCTAGCAATACACGAACATAGCAATACCGGGTTTCGGTCCGGGTCGGGTCGTCGGGCCGTGTGGTAAAGAGTAAGAGCACGTTGTGACATATTATTGGCATTCAGATGTAGAGCTACGCCAGGTGTTTGGACCTAATAAATCTTTCAAATATGTCTACACAACCAAATAGAAGTTGAGGAAGGTCCTCCTCCTTTGCAAATGTAAGTCGATAGAAGGTGAGGAGAAGAAGTCCAACTCGCTTGCAATTGATAAGAAGGTGAGTGATCTTGTTGGTGTGGAGCAAGGCAATATTGGCTATAAGGATGTATGTGAGAAGTCGACTCATGAATTGGCTTGGTCTTGGTTTGATAAATGGCTCGTGAGCTAAGCTCGATGAGCTAATAAGCCATTCTCGACTTTATTTGTTAGCTCACATGCCAGCGCGTTTAAAAAATATTAATACAAAATACACTTAAAATATATTGAATTTTAGGATTTTAAGCACAAAATTGTTGAAAATATTCGAAAACTATATCTTACTTTCTTATATTAAATAATTATTTGTTATCTTTCTTATAATTTCTTATTTTCTTGACTATATTTTTATAATAATTGTTTAAATCATAATCATTATCTCTTTCATAATAAACGGGCCGACTCGAATTCATTGAATAAAGCTCGATGACTTAATGGGCATTAGGATTGTAGATCTTCATGATAGGTTGCTAGAGATTCCACTTAACTTTTGGACGAATAATTATTTCTTTTCGATCCTTCCCTCTATACCACAAGTGACTTTATTAGTGTCGAGTACAGTTGGTTAACATGCACCAACAATTGCATAGGCCCGTTTGGCAACAAAGACAATAGGGGTCTTGAGGGGGAGTTATTATTCCGCGTGGATACCAGATGGTAAAACCGTCCGGTTAAGTGCTCAGTATCGCATGGTGAGCAGTACCGAGCACGGGTACTGAGCTTGGTATCGAGCGCGATACATTTTTTGAGTGACGTGATACATTTTTATTGGTCTTCGGACGCCCTTCGGACTCCGCACAGAATAATAAATCCTTGAGGAGAGAGTATGTAGGGCAGAAGGTGTAATCATCTCTGGCTCTTGGTGACTAGGGTGTTGAGGTTTTTGCTCTTGGATGGCCTTTTTTAGACACTCTCAATGAATGAGTTTGCACCTTGGAGGAGAGCTTGCTATGTCCAAACTGAGTTTGAGAGAAGAATCTAATGTTCTGGAGAGGGTGAGCTCGGCAAGTGGCGAAGCCTCCATGTTGAATAATTGTTAGATCCTGCGTATAGAGTATTTTTTAGGGATGAATAAGATCACCTCATCAACTTGTTCAAGCTCAATTCTTCAAACTTTTTTTTTTATTTGTATTCAAGCTTTGTTCATTTAAATGATATATTTTCATTTTTTGTTTGTATTTGGTTCATGTTCAATTTATTTTATGTTTATCTAGCTTTAATAAAATATCCTTATTAAGCTTTCAATGAGTATTATTTTCTAGATTTTCATTAGCTTAACAAGTGAACTGTATTGAGCTTGCTAACAAATAATTATAGTAGAGGTTGTTCACGAACAACACTTGCGAGTATTTTCAAGCTGCCAAATGAGCCCATTTACGAACATATTTAGTGATTATTTTTTAGTTACCAAATGAGCCTGCTCATCAACAAACGAATTCAAAAATAATTTTTTTTTATATAAACAAGCTTGATCATGAAAATTTTAAGCAATACAACACACATAAACAACTAACTTTTATTCATGAACAAATTAATTCTAATAAAAGTATAATGCAAAAATTGAAAATATTTTTTAATAAAATAAGAATAATTTATTATAAAAAATTAAAAATTATAAGAAAATATACCAAATAAAAATTTAAACCAATCTTAAGAAATATATTTAGTTCCAAACAAATATGAATAAGTTTCATATTGAGCTTGTTTTTTTCTTTTTTCATATTGAATTTGTTCACGAGCTTTAAACAACTTTGTTCATAAATATAAACAAGTCAAACACATAGTTGTTCAAGCTTGTTTATTTAACACCTAAACCCTAAAAAATATTTAAGCTTATTTGATTACTTAATCTAACTATCAGAAATAAGCTGTAATTGGCCTGACCCACAAGTAACTTATAGAATGCTTAGTTTATTTGCAGCCCTAATCATCAAGATCCTCAATTTTCGTGGGTTCGTGCCAGTGTAGGTGATGCCAAACTCTATAGCTAGTGTGGTCACCTTCCTCTTGCATACTTCATGAGAGAGGATCAAATAAAGCCTAATCCTATTTCAATGTCAATTAATATGAACATCATCAATTAATATGAGCAGTAAACATATGATAGATTAATAATTTCTATCTAAATCCAATTTCAGTGTCATGTAAAATGCTATATGAAATGTTATCATATGCATCAACGTAATCATATTAATTATACAAATGAATTCTATAATTATATTATTATCCCTATTATCCATGGATCTTGTCCATACCTATCAATATCAATGCATCATGTTTATGCATGAGAAATCGGTTATCAATGCATATAGTGTCTCTACTATATTAATTATCATGATCTAAGGTTTCCTCTGAGAATAGCAAGTACTAACTTGACGATGTGGATGGCACTGGCTAGAACCGGCTGGCTCCTTTGATCTTCCTTTGGCATCTTCCCTGGTTGCCTGATTAAATTGGTTAGGATGGAATCCTTTAGTTCTTGCATTAATGAGATCTTCCATTAGGCCATAGAGATGATTGCATTCCTCCGTGTTATGCTCATGATCCTTATAGAGCACGCGGAACTTGGAGGTGTCTCTAATACGGGAACTTTTATTAGGTCCGGTGTAAGGACGTAGAGGAACATCCGGTCGGAGGCAAAATCCCGCCAAAAAACTCGGTATTTGCTCGGTATTACTAGGTATTATTTGATAATAACGAGGAATACCGCTCTGTGAAGATCAATACCGAGCAATACCGAGTTGTACCGAGTTTTTTCTAGGAAAAACTCAGTACAACTTTTGTATAACTCGGTATTGCTCGGTATAGCTCGGTATAACTCGGTATTGGGTCTTCACATGATGGTATTCCTCGTTATTGTTTGGTATTGCGTGGTATTTGCTCGGTATTTCTCGTTTTTTGGCGCGATTTGGCCTCCGACCGGACGTTCCTCTACGTCTGATCGGAGGACGTAATAATTGTTCTTGTTCCTAATACGGGCACTCGCAGTAATGGGTGTTGGGCACTTAAAGAACTCCTTGTTTTGAATGACTTCCACTAACTCAGCCATAGACGCGCACAAGGAAGTTACAATTGGGCATTTATGAGTGGGCAACCTCAAATGCCTAGTGCTTCCTCCATTCGCGGAGTGGGCAACCTCGCGAATCTAAATAGTCTTGCTTACAGCAGATTTCTCTGCTAATAATGATGATGATGATGATCCTGTGGTGCATAAGGCCTTGTATGTGCTCTGTGATTTCTTGAGCAACGCATATTATGCATGACTTTTATGTCGATCATGCCTTATGGTTAGCTCTTTGAGTGAGTGGTTGAGGATGTCTCGACCACACTATTGTACTCATCCATGTTGATATGGCTATTAGTGAATACGCCCATATTTGAGCAAGTTACAATGGCTTCTTGATTTGAGGAGTAAATACTTCAGATAACTAAACGAGTCGATGCCATAGAAGAGGACTCAAATTTTAAGCAAAGAAGGAATCAGGATTGAGCTTCTTTATCTCGCTGACAATCCTTTTGAACATACTAAAACACAGCTCATTTTGATTCGTTAGTTGATTATCAATTAAGAAGTACTGAATTTGAATTTTTTATATATTATATGTGTGAGTTTACCTTTTTTGTGTGAATCAAAAGTCCAAAAAGAAAAAAAAAAACTACTAAAACTACCGAAGCAGCTCCAATCCCACTCACGTACCATACAGATGCTTGCCACTGGCTGCTTAATCAGCGTGCTATTAGAAGCTTTCCGATCAGTGGAAGCTACAGTACCGAAATAATTTCCAATTGCAGATCTTACATCACAATATATTTTTTTTTAAAAAGTAAAGTTTCTTTTCCTACCTCAAATTCTATGACTATAAACTGTAGGATACTAAGCCTTCATTTGAAATAGTTTTCTTTCTGACTTTTAAAGCAGCTTTTTATTACAAAAAAAAAATTACTTTAAGAAACAGTAAAAAAGATGTTAGGAACATCGACATAACATCCACTTAAAAACATAAGAATAACATAACATCCACTCAAAAACATCGACATCTCTATTTTGAACATCAAACTTAAGCTTTAACATATTAAAATAATACTAATAATAATAATAATAATAATAACCCACTTAATATGTATTCTGTTAAGCTTATTCAAACTATAAAAAAAATTTAGGACTTCATGATATATTAATATCTAAGAAATTTGGTTATTTATAGAAAAAGGTTTTTGCTTTGTTATCTGAATACTTGAGCTGCCATAGGGAAGTAGTTGGTGACATTTTAAATCTTTGCTTTTATTAAAGGAGTGCCTACACCTTTTTAAGGATATTTAAGTCAATTAACACAAACTAACACATACATCACATTCATAGGGCTCGAACCCAAGACCTCTTAGTTGGTAATCAAAACTCTCAACCAACATACCAAGATGAGCTGTGTGAGTTCCTACACCTTGGTTTCGCATATGATACCCCTAATGAATAAGATATGGTGACAAAAGTAGTTAAAAAAATCTAAAAAGATAAAAATGCATGTGAAAAAAAAAAATCTTCTTTCTGAAAAGGTCTCTTTCCAGACATTGAAAGGTGGAATTTTAAATAGATTTGAAAGTTTGAAAAAAAGAAACATTTCGCATATGTGAGATTGACTGTACACATTTGAATTTCCAAGTTTATTGGTTTTGCAAAACCATATACACCACAATGCCATTAAAAGTCCAATCACTATAAAAGAAATTGAAGAGTTGATTAAATGAAGCATGATTGAAATTTGTGAAGCAGAAATTGCATAATCAAAGGAATATCTATACATTCCATTCATTTGAATTTCTATGTTGCTTATCTTCATGCAAATATATCGAATACTACTAAAAAGAAATAAGTCATGGCTGCTTACTTTTCCAAGAACTATATCACAAGCTCAAGCCTGCTATCATTGCAGCTCAGTCAATTCAAACATGTAATTTAATTAGCTTTTAAATTAGTTTTAGATGAGAGGCAAACCGATCTTCTCAACTGCATTTGATTCTACATCATATACATTTAATAGAAAAGGACAGGTTCGAAGTAGTAGTTAGATTGCCTCTATTTTGTTAACTAAGGGTCATGAGTTCCAGAGAAAGAAGTCCCTACTAATGAGAGGACTGATATATCAACATAAAAGATCTAAAACTAAACAGTGCACTGTACATTCAAATCTATATTAGCTGAGCATAATAAAAAAGGAGAAATATTGGGATGAGGATTTTATATGTTCCTATCTATTCAGGGAATAAGATCACAATGGTTGAGGCTGGGATTTCACTAACCTCACACTGCTGTAGAAGCGCTTGAGGTCTTTCATTGCCTTCTCCTCGATCTGAATTGATCTGATGGAGGATGGAGCTTCTGCTTCTGGCTTGAACCAGCGGCTGGGGGCCACACCGCTGGACTCTGAAGGCGAGCCATGAGGAGCAATGGCGAAACCCGAAGTATTAGTTTTCGGACTGTGAGAAGTGCTCTGCTGCTTCTTCACCTGCTAAAATAAAACAAAACTTGATTCACTGAATTATGAGGAAATAGACAAAACATTTGTGGTGGGATGAGTTGAAAGATATGAAAACTTATATGACAAAGCAGATTGCAGTTTATTACAAAAAAAAAAAAGACTCATCATCTAGGATGGAAGCAGATCAATAAACAAAATGGAACCTTGGAAAGCTTAAATTAACGATTACAGATTCAAAATAAAAAATGTTGGGATTTCACATCATTTCCTTCACTTAACCTTCAATCAAAATAAGGTCTAAGCTAGCACTAAATATATAGAATGAAACTGTTAGACCGGTCCAGTGGACCGGTCCAGCCGGTCCGCACGGGACCGGCCGAGTCGCGAAACAGGCGACTGGTTTTGCCTGGGCGGAAGCCGCACGCACGCATGATCCACGGGAGCCCTTTTTGGAAGGTTTTTGAATGGTGTTTAGGAGGGAAATTGATTGTAGAGACTGTTTAGGGAATTCCTTTTGAATTGTATGCATTAAATAGTTGATTTTTCTAGGGTTTGGATATCTTGAATTTGAATGTAATTTGAGATCTAGGGTTTCTTGCTTGGGCTCTTGGCGTTGCCGGAGATTGTCGGAGAGTTGTTCTTCCTCTCGAATCGAAGAACATTGTATCTTTCTTATTGTCTTGCTTCTACTATTGGAATACAATTGATTTGTGTGATTCATTCTCAGATTTCTAGCGTATTCTTCCTGTTTTTCCCTGTTTCTTGGCTGATTTCTGCTGTGGACAGCAGTTTTACATTGGATCTATTTGGTTTTGGTGAGAAACCCTTGGAAATCCAAGTGTTTCCTATCAAATTGGTATCAGAGCATCGTTTTTGGGACCTTTGGCGGCTGAAATCCGGAAATTTCAGCGGGAGTTTCATTTCAGGAAAAAGATCTTCGTGAATCTTGAGAAGAACGATGGCCGAAAAGAAGGTTGACGTCTTGGAAGGCGAAGTCGGCCAATTGAAAGTCGATTTGGAGGAAAGATTCTTCAACCTTCAAAATCAAATCACCTCCAACAATGAAAGGTTGGAGGGGAAGTTCACCGC